TATATATATATATATATATATATGAAAAAGAGAGATCATGTGCAGATTCTTTACAAACTTCCAACGGCTTTATGCGCTCATTTCGTGCTGCCCGCAGCAGCGATTCGAATTAAAAAAGATAAATTGTTTCGTAATATGTTTCATGCATTTTACATCCCCTCAGGTTAAAAACTTATTTAATTGATTTTTTTTTTAATATAATAGAAAATTACACACAAAACTATCAAAATTATAATGAAATTCTGACTTTATTTAATTTATTTTCATATTAAATTAATAATAATTATCAAAAATTACTTTATTTTAAGTTTTAAACATAATCTAATGATAATTTCAGGAAATTTACTAAAAATTAACACATTTTGTTAATAAATAATGATTTTTCATACTTTTTTCTGTCTTCAAGTTCAAAACTTTTTCTTAATTAACAAATAACTAACAAAATTATCAAATTGACAAAAACGCTCTAACTTTATTATGTACTTTCATATGAAAATATTATTAACAAATCTAAGTTTTATTTTGATAAAATTATGATCCAATAGGAATTTAATAAGTTTTAAACATAATCTATCAATAAATCCAGAAAAGTAACTAAAAATGTACACATTTCGTTTATAAATAATGATTTTTCGTCTTCAAGTTGAAAACTTTTATTTAATAATTTTACAATTCACGAAACTATCAAATTCACAAAGAAATTCTGACTTCATTGTTTACTTTTCTTTCACAATATTATGAATAAAACATTTATTTTTTTTTCTGTAAATATTTAATTGATTTTAAAGGTAATTTATCAAAAACTAGAACAAAAAGTAAGAATTATCATAATTTGAATCCATTTTTTTAAAAGAATTTGATAATAAGTAGTAATATTTAAAGTCTGCATAGGAAATATTTTATAATTTAATAATGAATATAATTTTGTGTTTTAAAAGAATCTCTATATTATTTTTTATAGAATTACAATCTGGATGAATGTAATAAATTGCATACACTTTCTTATATGAAACCTGTTAGATGATGTGTTTTGCATATGCATGTGGAAGGAGGAGAGTTTCAGACCGAAGGCAGTGAATCATTACTCTTCTTTCGTACGTGTGAGAAAAAGATACGCCTTTCGCTGTTGCTGCTGCTGCTTCTGCTGGGACCGAACGAACAACACGAGATAGTTGTGCATATGCAAAAACAAATCATGTCCCTCTTCTCCTATGTTTATATGCATTCTTCTGGAGCCATAAACCATCCAGAGACATTAATAGGTCAGTCGCAACGAATGTTAAAGCATGTGTTTGTTTTACGTAATAAAATGTACGTAAAATGTCTCAAAACACTTTTCAATTGAACTTTTGTAAAAGAAAAACATAAAACATTTCATTTCTTTACATGTTTTATATTACTAATAGAAATTTAAAACAAAAAAATCTTAAATAAAAAAAAAACATCATTTTATTAATTAATATTTATTTACTAATTATCTTTAAAAAAAAGTATTACAAAATATTTAAAACTTTTTCTATTATTTTTAAATTAAATTCATTAATTAAACTTTTTATAAAAATGAGAAAATATTATTTTTTTGGCACAATTTTAGCCAAAATTAAAGTCGATTTGAGTTTCTCTCAAAATTGTTTCATTTTTTTTTTATATAAACTTAATAATTACAATATATATTGAAATAATTACAAAAAAAACTGAATAAAAAGATCAAACTAATTAATTAAGCTCAGAATTATTTTTTTTTTATATTTCATTCAACATTTATAAAAATTCTATAAGGAAACAACTGCAAACAATTGAAACTCACATAAATTAGTTAAAACTAATTAAATCAAATGCAGTTAAGCTTTCATGAATCATGATGTATCATTATAAGAATAACAAAACTTAAATTAATCTAGTTTCAACTTAATTAATAAGTTTTCTTCACAAACTATAAATATTATTGTAACTTATTTTATGAACTTATGAACTATGACACACAATCACAATTCGCTCAATGGAAATATTCATTAGACTTAAATGATTCCATTGCTTGGTTTTCATATTTCTAAAGATTATTGTTAATAAACTCATCAATAATTTATTAGTTTAATTTAAATTAATAACTTAAGAAAAGAAATGTGTTGTGACTCGATTAAAAAAAGAAAACAAAACTCGATCTGAATATCTCAAAGTTTATAAAAAATGTTACGTAAGTATTGTCTTAGAAAAAAAGCTGAACAATATTTTTGTCTTTAATATTAACACTTTTCGGACAAGTGGCGGATATATTCGCCCAACTTTTATTTGTAAAATTTTGAAAAAAAAAATAGAAAATGTCCAAAAAAAAATATGATATTTTTGTTACAATATTTGTGAGGAAACAGCACTAAGTAATTGAAACTTAAAAAAGAATACTAATTAGACTGAACTAATCAAAATCAGTTAAGTTTTCATAAATAATGATGAATCATGATGATAAGAATAAGAAAACATAAATTAATCTAGTTTCAACTTAATTATTAAGTTTTCTTCACAAACTATAAATATTATTGTAACTTATTTTATGAACTTATGAACTATGACACACAATCACAATTCGCTCAATGGAAATATTCATTAGACTTAAATGATTCCATTGCTGGGTTGTCATATTTCTAAAGATTATTGTTAATAAACTCATCAATAATTTATTAGTTTAATTTAAATTAATAACTTAAGAAAATAAATGTGTTGTGACTCGATTTAATAAAAGAAACAAAACTCGATCTGAATATCTCAAAGTTTATAAAAAATGTTACGTAAATATTGTCCTAGAATTTGTAAAATTTTGAAAAAAAAAAAATAGAAATGTCCAAAAAAAAATTATGATATTTTTGTTACAATATTTATGAGGAAACAGCACTAAACAATTGAAACTTAAAAAAGAATACTAATTAGACTGAACTAATCAAAATCAGTTAAGTTTTCATGAATAATGATGAATCATGTATCATTATAAGAATAACAAAACATAAATTAATCTAGTTTCAACTTAATTATTAAGTTTTCTTCACAAACTATAAATATTATTGTTACTTATTTTATGAACTTATGAACTATCACACATAATCACAATTCGGTCAATGGAAATATTCAATGGACTTAAATGATTCCATTGCTGGGTTGTCATATTTCTAAAGATTATTGTTAATTAACTCATCAATAATTTATTAGTTTAATTTAAATTAATAACTTAAGAAAAGAAATGTGTTGTGACTCGATTTAAAAAAGAAAACAACTCGATCTAAATATCTTTCATTAATTGAAAGTTTATATAAAAATGTTACGTAATTATTGTCTTAGAAAAAAGCTGAACAATACTTTTGTCTGTATAAATTTACAAAACAATTCTTAAATATTAACACTTTTCGAAAAAGTGGCGGATATATTCGCCCAACCTTTATTTTTTGTTTACACTGAGTTGTCAGGTTTTTAATTTGACGTTAGTTCTGTAGAGACAATACTTAAGTTGTCAAAACATAGCTGCTTGTATTTTTAATGCACACGTCAAATTTGCAAAAAAAAAAATTTTTTTACATATTTTTATAAAATTGAGAAAATGTTGTTTTCTAAAAGTTATTTTTTGTGTACGATTTTAGCTTTTGTTTTTATTTTTTTAAATATTTCATTCAAAACTTGTAAAATTTTGAAAAAAAATAGAAAATGTCCAAAAAAAAATGATAGTTTTGTTACAATATTTGTGAGGAAACAGCACTAAACAATTGAAACTTAAAAAAGAATACTAATTGGTTTTAAATTTGACGTTAGTTCTGTAGAGACAATACTTAAGTTGTCAAAACATAGCTGCTTGTATTTTTAATGCACACGTCAAATTTGAAAAAAAATCATTTTTTTTACATATTTTTATAAAAATGAGAAAATTTTGTTTACTAAAAGTTATTTTTTGTGTACGATTTTAGCTTTTGTTTTTATGTTTTTAAATATTTCATTCAAAATTTGTAAAACTTTGAAAAAAAAAATGTTCAAAAAAAAATTATGATATTAATGAGGGAACAGCACTAAACAATTGAAACCTAAAAAATAATACTAATTAGACTGAACTAATTAAAATCAGTTAAGTTTTAATTTGATGTTCACTAAGAAAAATTAACAAATTTCATAAATTAATCTAGTTTCAACTTAATTTTGAAGTTTTTTTTTTTACAGACTATTAATAATATTGGAATGTATTTTATGAACTACGAACTTATGAACTATGATACACAATCAGAATTCGCTCAATGGATATAGTATTTATTGGACTTAAATGATTCCATTGCTGGGTTTCTATTTATGACACGTGTCGCCTTGAGACCATTTCCGTAAACCAATTTAAATTTAGATTTTAATTTTTACAAAGAATAATATTGATAATAAAACCATCAATTCACATTATTTATGTGATAATGGACTAGACACTTGTCAACAACAATACCTCTTATATTGCCGTTTCGATCAGTCCGGATTCACAAAAAAAAAATTTGAAAATTTCAATACAAACTAAATTTTAAAAAAAAATACTTGTTGTAATTACTTGGATATTTTAATTAAATTAATTTATATGAAAATTTATAAAAAAAAAAATATTTGTTATCGCTCGACAAAAATGAAAAGAAAACTAATTAAAGTCGATCGAGTAATTTAAACGTTATCTCTGCTTCATTTCAATTCGTTTGTTTTTATTTTTGCTATGTTTTTTTTGTGTGTTTTGTTTCTTTTCATTTCTTTTCTTCGCAGAGAGAACCGATCAAAACAGATTTCAATTCTGCAACTTATCAACATTCGGTGTTAATGGAATTGACCTTCTCCCATCATTTTTAAATTACATTTCTGCGTTTATAAATGTGATTTAGATACGTCGCGGCAATCATAATAAGTATAGATAAAAAGCGAATCTATGCACAAGACGATCATCGATTCGCATTCAACACGCATATATAAAGAGAGTTTCGCAAAAAATTGAATCATATCAAGTTGTCACTGAAAGTTGAAGAGATGAGAGTACTCGTAAGTGTTACATTTTTTTTTGCTTCTAAAAGATTTTCACTCTTAATAATGAAAGATAATATAATAGTAATGAAAATATACATTTGGTTATGTATTTTTTGGTATTGTATTGTTTGTGTTTTTTTTTGTTTAATAAGAGTATTTCGTTCGTGCGCAATCAATTTTAAATCCATTCAGCTTTTGTTTATTTGCGTAATCGAATGCAATGTGTTTTTGTTTGCGGCGAATTTGCGTCAAACGAATTTCTGTTGTTTCAATTATCCATCGTTGCGTCGCGTCCCATTCAATAAAATTTAATAAGAATCCGAATAGAATATTTTATTATATTTTTCTGTAACTAAATTAACGATGTTGTGTTTTATCGTTTTAGGTTTTTTTTTTTCATTTAACTACAAAATTTTCCTAGTTTATTGTTTTGAACTTTTGTAGTTTGTATTTTGGATTGACATTTTTCAGAATGGTAATTAAATTGTTATAAAGGTGGTGAAACCTTTTAAGTTGCTTTAGTTTTGATCACAAAATTAAGTTTTTTTTTCTTCAAATTTTCTTTTAAAAATTTTAAATTATAAGTTAGTAATATTTAGTTAGATTTATACGAAACAAATGAATGATCTGACGTAAATTTGACTATCCTTCTAAGTTGCTTCAGTTTTGTTCATAAAGTGACGCAAATGTGACGAATCCTTCTAAAATGTTTTAGTTTTATACATAAAATTAGGACTTTTTTCGTTAAAAAATTTAAATTAGAATTTTAGTAAATATACGAAAAACAAATGATTCTAAGTTACTACATTTTTGTAGATGAAATTAAATTATTTTTTTTAATTTTTTAGAAAATTTTATAATTTGTAATTTTTTACTTTCATTTAACAGAATTGTTCTTTGTATGTAATTTTTTCTAATTAATAAAATTGTAATATTTTTTTTCATTGTGTTTCAGAATGGAAAGCAAATGGTTGTGAAGGTGACGGATCCTTCTGAGCTGCTGAGGCCTGAGCCGGCATTCGCACAAAAGCCTGTTGCTCAGTTCAGGGATTATAGCATCGATGAGAATGATCCGATTAAGGAGAGGGTGCGAAGGACTTATTACGAAATGCACACAAATCAAACCGTTGATTTTGTTAAAGGTAACATAGAGACAAACGAAAACACTAATCCTCTCGCTTCAATGCCTTCAAGCCACAAGAAATCATCATCATCATCATCCAACTTTTCCTCATCCCCAGCGATATTATCGATCACACGTTTAAACTCCAGCAGACAAACGGATTTCGCAAATCTTCAGCCAAATCTTGTTAATGCTTTCATTCCGTCGCGCTTTCGAAACTCCTAGACTTTAATCAACTTTTAACGTGTTCAACATTTATCAAATCATACTTATGCGAGTTATTGCGACTCTAACCCTTCGCAGAAACTTCCTCCGTTTCAATTATCCAACAAACTCTTTCCAACTCTTCATGATTACTTTTTTTTCTTCCTTCACAAAATCCCATTATCAAAAATTATGGAACGTCCTAATCATATTTAAGTACTCGCTACTTTTCAATTTGAACTTTACCTTCTCACAATTTCTTTATTCAACTTCCAAAATAATTTCTTTTACTTCTTTACTTTCTTATAATCTTATCAATCTCATTCATATTTTTCAAATGTTGGAAAAACGATAATCGTTTGTGTTTCCAATTAAAATTATCTAAATTAAAATTTGACCTCAAAATTTTCCATAATATTCGATTATCAACTTATCAAACAAATCAACAAATTTACTTACAAATTGCTTATAAAATGAAACTCAATCTCTTATGAATTATAATCTAATTATATAATCGTTAAATTTATAGAACTCTGCTTTTTGCTAAGAGTGTTTCAATGACAGCTGTCACTTTAAGTCAACACGGGAAACTGAGTTTTGACACAAGGTGACAGCTGTCATTGTGTTGAAAAACGCTCCTATAAACTACATTAAATGTTATATTTTTGCAAATATTAAATAAAACGTATGCATTTTCAAATAAAAATTGATTAAGATGAATTGAAAAGTTATGAAAAGCAATATTCAATTATGTTAATAAATGAGCAAAGAACGAGAATAATTGTATAATGAACGGTAAAAATGGGTCAATTCATATGTTTCCGAAATTCTATTACTTCGAGTACTAGTGCCGTTTTGTATCCACGTAATAGTTCAATTACTTAAAGCGATAAAAACAGCGAGTGAGAGAAGGAAATGCATTTCCCGTAGATCGCTTCATGTCCCCCCCTCGTTCTCTCAACCCTCGCACTCTCTATTTCTGTCGTCGTCCGGTTTCTTTTGGTCTTTTGTTCGTCTTATTTAATTGGATGAAACTTCCTGATATGAGTTCTAAATGTGTCGGTCTGGTTTTTGTTTCCGCAGCGAAAATGAGCAAGTGGTTGACGTTCGACCATTTCAAGTCCAATATCCGCGACGCTCTGGAAAAGCTCAATGAGCTCGTCGACGAGAGTGACCCGGACGTCGACATCCCCAATATCGTTCACGCCTTCCAAACGGCAGAAAGAATCCGTCACGACTATCCGGACATGGATTGGTTCCACTTAACGGGTCTCCTACACGACCTCGGCAAAGTAACTACACACCATAATCATAATTACAATCAAGCCCTAATTTTGTCTTAAATCAGGTGATGGCTTTCTTCGAAGAGCCGCAATGGTGCGTCGTTGGTGATACTTTCGTTGTCGGATGCAATTGGTCCGAGAGCATCGTCTACAGAGACACCTCCTTCGTGGACAACCCTGATGGCAAGAATCCCAAATACAAGTAAACCTTCAAAAATAAAATCGATGTTTTGTATTAACTTTTTATTCTTATTCAGCACTAAGTACGGAATGTACGAACCCAACTGCGGTTTGGATAAACTCACGCTTTCTTGGGGCCACGACGAGTACCTTTACAGAGTTCTGAAACATAATAAGTCGACTTTACCGAAGGAAGCCCTCTACATGATTAGATACCATAGCTTCTACCCTTGGCATGCCGGCGGTGATTACACTCATCTAACCAATGAAAACGATGAGCAAATGAAGAAATGGGTCCTCCTCTTCAAGTACAAACATCTACCTCCTACAAACAGCAATTTAACTAATTAATTTCAATATATTTTCAGCCAATACGACCTCTATACCAAGAGCCTCGAAATTCCCGACATCGAAAAACTCTGGCCGTACTATCAAGGACTCATCGAGAAATACATTCCAGGTGTTTTGGAATGGTAAATTTCAAATCAGCGCTTTAAAACCGTACAGCTGCTGCCACCTGCTAACAAGTTAGCACATCATCAGAAAGTTACCTACAAACATATTCAAATTATAATAGACATATTTTTAAAGAAATTAATCTTTCTGATAATTTAAGCTTAAATATTAAATATACTCAAATATCAAATTGGAAACTCAAATAAGTCAATAAGATTAAGAAAATTTCCTAGTTTTCAATAATAATTCTCGCTAAGATCTCCTAAGATTATATAAATACTTTAAATATACAATTAATTTAGGTTTTAAATTTAAATAAAATAAATAACAGTTAAATAAGACTTTCTTTAAAAAAAAATTAGTTTTCTTTAAATTACTTTCTACTAAATATATGCAAGGACTTAATTCTTCGATAAATACAATCAATATTATATAAGATTTAATTGGATTAGAACTAAGATTTATATTTCAAAATGTATGTTTGGTTGCCTACCACTGATACTCATATTAAACTTTTTCAAATAATTCTTAAAGATAATTTGCTAATACAAAAAACAATACTTAAATCAATTTATAAAATAACAAAAACTTAAAATTTCTACTTATGACCTAACAGAAAACTATTCTTTTAATATGATCAAAAACTATATACATGGACTTAGGCAATCATTTGTGCAATTTTAATGTTTGTTAATAAAACTTTGTATCTTGGGTAGTATACTATAAGGGATTAATTCAAATATGATTGTTCATTTTTTTTGTAATTTACAAAGCAAATGTTGATTATATACTATTCTACATGCGTCTATAATACTAAATATATAATAATGAATAATGTATTTGTTGTTTCATTTTTTTCTTAGAACGATTTCATTTCTATGAAAAATATTTATGTACAATTGTATTTAAATTCAATTGTTTTTATAATTGAATACCGAAAAATCCAAAGTTTCTTCTTATAATATAATCCTTTTGTTAATAAATATAACTATGACTAACTCAATCAATCATTTAAATTTAGTTTCAAAAGTAAAGAAAATTTTTCAAACAAGAAAGATTGTTTATCAAAACATGATGTTCAGGATATAACACAAATAAGCAATTATTTTTCCTTTTTTATTGCAAATGATTTTCAAGTGTTGATAAACAGATGTATTATCGCGCCGCGCAATGTTTTAAATGGCGGAAACAATTCACGACAATGACACGACCCGGTGAATCACGTATCTGCTAAATAAACATGATTACCGCGAGGAAAAACCTCCTTTTGCTATTTGGGGAATTTGCTGATAAACGTAAAGATGATTTAAGACATCTTTATACATTATTAGTAAAGGGTTGAAGCTAAGATTACAAAGTTCAGCTGAACTCATTTTGAATCTCTGATATGTTAGGCGTATCAACAACGTTTGTTTTGTTTCCTTTGTTTTGGTTCAAGGTTCACTTTTCGTGTTGTGTTAATTCCAATTCGCGGATTATGTAATGTTAATCTGCTTCAAGGAAAATGTTATTTCGTTGTGCAACGAGAATCATATTTTAACAAGGATAAAGAAACAATTTGCAATTTTTGATAATTCATTTTCCTTATACAAGATTGGCCTCAGATCCTTCAATTCCAGTTATAACTACATTTTGAATATGTGCCAAGTCTAGAAGTAAACAAATCGAACAATAACACTTCCAAATTTAAAGTACAAACGAACATGTAAATAAAATTATTGTTTTTTTTTGTTTCAATTTAAGTATAAACCAATTGATTGATGTAACCAATACAGAAGTTAATCTATTTATGGATGCAATAAAATCTATAAAGTTTTGGTTATCAATGTATAATATAATTGTGCGTAATTCTTTCGAACGTGTCACCTTCGGACAATTTATAAAAATACACCTTGAAATTGAAATTTGCACAACAACAGTGAAAACGTAGCGAATATTTTACTGTCGCAATGATAATGATTATTATAAGATAATTGATTTTACAATAATCACACATGTAAATATTACATTAGAATCAAAAATATTGATTCAAAATTATAATCAATTAATTATTTACACAGATTTATTTATTGATTTTCCAACTGTTGCAAGTTTAGTGCATTTTTCTTTGTAATATCTACTTTTTAGAGATTGGAATAATTGGATTTAGTTAATTAGTTCATATTTAGTTATACTTGGAAGTGGAGTTTAAACCAAAATAAATGATGTTTGTATTTTAGATTTAGTAAACTTGTCCTATTTGGACATGGTTTAAAAATTTAGTTAAATATATTTAAATTAGTTGATAATTTTCGATAATAGTAAAAAAAAAATATGTTTACGTTTTATTTAAATTTCTCAACATTGCTGATAAAAATAATTTTTAATGATTTTATTATACAAATGGTCTAAAGCAGCGGTTCTCAACCTATGGGTCGCGACAACCGAAATTCCGTCTATCGAAATCCCGAGTGTATCAAAATCCTGACGTTCGAAATCCCGACAGTGTCTTTTATTATTATAAATTTCTACAATAACATTTTTATGGTAACCGGGATTTCGATATAGTCAGGATTTTGATTGTCGGGATTATGGTAGTCGGGATTTTGATATAGTCAGGATTTTGATTGTCGGGATTATGGTAGTCGGGATTTTGATATAGTCTGGATTTCAAGCGTCGGGATTTTAATACAGCCGGGATTTCGAACGTCGGGATTTCGATACACTCGGGATTTCGAACGTCGGGATTTCAATAGACGGTTGTCGGGCTTGCGATATAGACCCCAAAAAATGTTATATTCTAAACAATGTTTTTCAAATAGTTAATAGGCTAAAACATGGAAAAATTATTTCATTCCAAGTTTTCAATAAATAATGAATGTTTAATAGTATTGATTATTTGTACCATAACAAAAAAAAACAGGATTTACGAAGTGTTACGTTTTAGGATACTTTGAGAAACCCTGTTTTAAACAATCTTAGTACAATTACTAAAAAAAATATGTTTGTTCGCGTGGTTCAAAGGTTGAGAAATGCTGATCTAAGTCAGTATGATAAATTCTCGTCATATATATAAATATTCAAATTCAGTTCAGATTTGTTAAGCTTTCATGTTCTAATTCCATTGTAATTAAATAAACTTGTATTTCCTTATATAAATAGTTGTTTCATTGTGAATCGATCTAATGTTTTAACGTCCTTGTCTGAAATTTGTTACAACTTTCTGAATGCCTTTTCATTTTCCATTCTATACTTTATGTATTATTGCTTTAACACATAATGATTGCACATTAAATACTAAACTCTATTCATCAGTAGTATTTTTTATTTATGAATAGATTGTTTACTAGTACAATAAGTATATAAGATTAATAAGTATAAAGATTAAAGAAAACTACTTATAGTAATAATATTTATTTTATCTATCTACAAACTGAAACAATGTCCCTGGCATTGAAAAATAGTGATTAGATGTGATATTCTAATCGTTTCCAACTGAAACCACTAATTTGAAAATAAAAATGAATCATTTAACAAAAATGTTTGAATTAAATTGATAACACTAATGAATCATTATGAAGCAGATCTTCAATATTTATTGAAAACAAGCTGTTCGATATGGATTATTTTGAAAAAATGAATAAAAATGTTTAGAATCGAGAGCTGTAAATAAGCGAAGGACGCAATTTGAAATAGTGGGAATTCACCAATCGCTCTGAATCGCTCGCGATCGTCATCAAAACAGTACCAATCCAATCTGTGAAGCATTCGACTGAGCTGAGTTTCCTGCAGCTACAGTTCACTACAGTTGCAACACTTCGCTGGTGGAAATTTCACGCCAAATGAGCAAAACGTGATAGTGCGGTGGTTCCAACATTATCTGGATTACGTACAACATCAACAACAACAATGGAGCAAGTGAGTATTGAATCGTTCTGAGGGGATAATGAGATAACAATTAGCCATGATCAAATAGACGTAACCTAAAATTACACCAATTATGAGGACTTTAAAAGCAGCTGAGCGACGAGCAGATGCAATTCAATTGTGCAAAGAGTGCAAATGTATATTAACACAACGATCGGTTACATCACGGTAATTCCGTGATTTGAGTAAACTTTCAAACGGAAAAGTAGGCAGCCCACTGCACATCGTAATCTTTGAATCGCTTTTCTTGCTTTTCTCTATCAATTAATTGATTATCTGTAGGCTATTATCAATAGACTTGAACTGATAACTGAGATTAAATGTAAATGACATAACCTCTATTTGGTTATGGGCGACTGATAGTGATCAATATGTTTGTCCAGCGTGGGGGGATATTTGAATTGGCTGTTTGATCAAACATTGCTGCAACATCGAACATGAATGTTGCACACAAAATTTATTATAAGAAAGACAGACATAAGGTAGACCATAGGTTATCTTAAACTTAAAACTTAATCACAGTGCAAATAGATTGTGTTATTGGATTATTAATAAAGTTACCTTTCACTTTTTCAGAATACAGATAATGATGAAGGATTAGGTGAAGAGATTGTTTTTCCTGAGAACATGTCCGGCCGAAGTGAGAGCACTCTGCTCACCCCAGCTCAAACATACTTTGCTGATGAGAGGATCCAAATTCCAAATGCTGAAGATGTAAGTTCCATAAATAATTTATTTAGAAAACTATTAAATAATTATGATTTCAGACGAAATTCAGTTTTCGAAAATTGTGGGCTTTCACTGGACCTGGTTTCTTGATGTCCATAGCTTACTTGGATCCTGGCAATATTGAGAGCGATTTGCAAAGCGGCAGCGTGACGAGTTTCAAGCTGCTATGGGTTTTACTTGGCGCCACAATTTTGGGACTTCTAATGCAAAGGCTATCAGCGAGATTGGGTCAGTACTTTAAATATTCTTTTAAAACATAAATAAAGTACATGTAATAATATTTCAGGTGTTGTAACTGGTTTGCATTTGGCTGAAATGTGTTACAGACAATACAAGAGATTTCCAAGAGTTATCTTATGGATTATGATAGAAATTGCGATTATCGGTTCTGATATGCAAGAAGTTATCGGAACTGCAATTGCGCTTTTCTTACTATCAAATAAACAGTGAGTTTATTGCGTTTAAATGTAGCTATATTTTTTTTAACATTAAACGTTTCAGTATTCCTTTGTGGGTTGGTGTGCTGATAACTATAGCAGATACGTTCACATTTTTGTTCCTCGATAAGTACGGATTGAGGAAGCTGGAGCTGTTTTTCGGGTCGCTCATTTTGGTCATGGCTGTGAGCTTCGGTTTCGAGTACGTTATTTCAGAACCGAATCAGTTGGAAGTTATGAAAGGAATGTTTTATCCTTGGTGCACAGACTGCACTTCGAGCGCTCTAATTCCGGCTATTGGAATAGTTGGTATTATATTATGACCCAGCATTGATGAGATGAAAGGAGAAAATATGTTTTAAATTATTTTAGGTGCTGTTATAATGCCGCACAACTTGTATTTGCACTCCGCTTTGGTGAAGTCTCGCGACGTCGATAGATCGAAACCGAAGGAAGTCAGTGAGGCTAATTTCTACTATTTCCTGGAAGCTTCCATAGCTCTTCTCATCAGTTTCGTGATCAACGTCTTTGTAGTCTCTGTTTTCGCAGTGGGTTTGTTTAATGTTACAAATAACGAAATGGTAAATAACTTGGTTATTAACTTTTGGCAGCAGATAATAACACAAATAATTCGAATTTTAGAGAGAACAATGCGAGAAGTACCCTTCAATGAACGGATCCGTATTTCCTGTGAGTCATTCAAAGATTTAATTCAATCTATTTATGTTGGATTAATTAATTGATGGTTTCAGGCGAACGATGATATAGTTGAAGCGGATTTGTACAAAGGCGGTATTTTCTTGGGCTGCACTTTCGGAGCTGCGGCCATGTACATTTGGGCTATCGGCATTTTGGCAGCCGGTCAAAGTTCGACGATGACCGGAACTTATGCAGGTCAATTCGCCATGGAAGGATTCTTAAACTTGCAGTGGGCTCGATGGAAGAGAGTTCTCTTCACCAGATCCATCGCAATCGTGCCAACGTTCTTCTTAGCTTTCTTCAGCGAAATCGAGGATTTAACGAAGATGAATATCATTTTGAATGCAGTCATGAGTCTTCAATTGCCGTTCGCAACGATTCCCACAATAGCTTTTACCAGTAACAAACAGATCATGGGTGAATTCGTCAATAATTAGTAAATTTTGTCCACCTATCTATTAAGGACGCGTACTTAATATAGATTACTTTGTAGCGCCAATACCGCAGTGGCAATTCTTCTGAGCATCGTCGTGATAAGTATAAACACTTACGTGGTCATCGATCAGGTGAACGATTTGGATCCAAATTGGGCCTTGCTGACGTTAATTGTAATCGTCGGCGTCATCTACCTACTGTTCTGCGCTTACCTAGTGATACACATGCTCGTTTCGATGGGAAACATTAGTCTTCTCGAATACGGTTTCGTAAATAAGTACATCATGGGAAATTCCGATTCGGAACTCTCCAGCAATCCCAGCAACTACTCCAGGTGAGTTTTTACACAACAACAACAAAAAAAAACCACAATAATCCTTCTATTTTTTTAATCGGATTATCGAGGTTATTTTCATATCCATAAACTCTGGGTCGTAAATAAGCTTTTAAACTTTTTTCAGTCTTGAGAGGGCCTAAGTCGTCTTGCTTCTTGGATCTATTTTCAGGTGCACACACACTTCTTTCGCATGATCTAGTAGTTTTTAAACTTTTGCATGATATTCTATTAACAATATTTTTTCTATATTTTTATACTAATCTACCTATTTTTTATTTTCTTCTCTCACACTATTTTAGCTTAAAACGCAGACGCCACTAACAACAAATTGCTCAAAGCAAAGACTAACAACCACTTTAATCATCCATTAAGTAATATGCGAACAGGTGTATCCGACGCTCGTGCATCGTCTTAATCAATCTTATTGCCGTTTTAGGTCTCAAGGAATTGACAATCCAGGGTTAGATGTTAAGTAGATTATTGATATTAGGTAATAAAGTTAACACCAATGAAGTGCCTTCACGATCTGAAGGAATATTATTTAATTTAGTCAAAAAAAAACACTTTATTGTATATATAGATATTTAAATATTAAGAGATATTATTATTATTGTATAGAAAAATGAGAAGTTTCCATTTCTGTGAATTGTTGGGAAATGAGGAACAAGAGATTTTCTATTTTTCTAACTTTTGTAAAATGAACGAACGTTTTGGCTGATAACTGTATTGTAGATCTCTGACGCTACTTTAGGAAATATTTTAATTCTAAAACCATATATTTAATTTGTGGCCATCAATAATTACAATAAACAGAATCTAATTAGTCAACATTAAATTATATACATGTTCAGTTGGTTGCCTAATCAACATTTTATAAATTGATTCAATAAATACACAGTTCTTAAAATCTTCCAATTTTTCATGTTTATCCTTACACATCCCTTATATTTAAAAAAATTGTTACATTTAAATATGATTCACGTTTTTCTATTATTTTCTTCCATAAAACTAACTTTAATTTTCTTTGAAAATCAATTGATATACCTTTTTTTCAGCATAGGATATATACCGCTCTTTTGCATTGTTGTATTTACAATTATGTTATTAGGAATTGAAGAGAATTAAGTTATACAACTAGTCGATGGATAACTTCAAAACGAATCGGATTTTAAAGTTGTAAGTAATAAACAATTATTTTTATATAAAAAAAGAACTTCATTAGAATTCAATTAATATAGACTGAGAAAGGTATAATAATTACTTCTTGATTTTCCTGCTTTATTTCATCTTTAAATTTAATATCATCATTGCAAGAATGCTATTTCGAAAAATGATATTTTACATGACTTAAATCTAATTTGTTGTTGTTGTCTTGCTTTTAGATTGTTATGACGATATTTGTAAAGCAATGGTTAAAGTACGCTTCCTTGTGGAACATCAGACATCATTAGAATCACAGTCACATTAAATATTACGTAAAAAAATGCGAATTAATGTTTGGTATACTTATTCCAAAATTGATCAGATTTGTTTTTTTCTTCATATTGAAACTAATCAATACACTTAATGTACCTAATTTAATAAGAATGTAAATGAACTAGAATAAATTAAATATATTTAAAGCAATTGAAATATACGTCAGATTTTGATATAATTAAATTATTATTAAATATAATACTAATTTCAGCTATGCAAATTTTCAATTTAAAACCGGTCGAAACATTTTAGTAAACGTTAGTAAATTATACTAAAGTGTTTTCTCTGTGTAAATCCGCCTACAAAGAATAACATCGCAAACAAGATCCAAGTGTCCTTATTATATAATCCCCACGTGGGGTGCAATTTTAATCGCATTACACGCTGGCCTACCCCTAATTTCTCTCCATCCGCATCAAGCATATGAAATATGTCACTCAATCATCGAGCTAATGTTACGAAAATCCACAATTTCCCCCAAAACGAAAATTTCTAAAGCAGATTAATGCAATCTTCTTTGTTATACGTTCAACTGTATAATGGCGTTAATCAAGAGATTATATAGTTTATGTACAATGACATAATTACCCCTTTATTCTGAGACATGTTGTAAAATCCTGTTAATTTTGAACTCCTTTTTTCTTCAATAATAAAGAATCTATTTCCAAGTTTACTAACTTATTCAGATGTACCTTTTCATATTTAAATTATTATAAAATTTTCAAGAAAATGATCAATCTCTCAACAAAGATTATCATTTAATTACAATAATTGCTCTATATAAAAATCTAATTGTATACTGATGAATTTTCGCAAGGATGTGCACTTGTGCGTAGTAAAAGTTAGAATTATAATCAAATTAATTCTGATTTCGTCGCTCCCTTATTTCGGTGTGACATTTGATGCGGATATTGTTTGCAATGGTGCATGGAGCAAGGGGACATCTGCTTTCCTGAATGCGCTCTAACCGTGAGGAGAGGAAAGTTAATAAGCCCGCGCGCGCCCCTTTCAACTAGATACAAATTTATACAATATTGGGCAACGTCGACCCCAACCAAAACAAATCGGACTTATTGCTCGTCTGAACACTTGCACCGGACCAAATTCAACAATTCCATGTAGAAAATTTTCATTTTTGTTATGGCAAAAAAAATTCTTACTAATAATATTTAATCATTTATTATTTTTAACAAATACTTTTTCTCTTTACTAAATTTTAAGGTATGAATCGTTACTATTTAACTATACAGATCTTTCAATTAAAGTTTAGAATTTCACTTCATAACTAAACATTCATATTTTGTACACAAAAATGTGTTTTTCGGAAAATTTAAAATTACAACACATTTATATTTTCCAGCTAAATTACTAGAAATGTGAATTTTATATCATGGATTGTAATCAATTATGGACGTAGTAAAACTTTCAATTTTATCCATTAAATTTGTGAGAAAATCACTAAAATGTGAAAACACTGATTTTCGAATGTTAATTTTATATAAATTAAAGCTAATTACAGCAAAATAAATTAAACCACATCTGCATTTAAATATAGTATTATTTGAACATTTGTTGAATTCCCCAAATATCCAACTATCATGTCGTTCTTTTGGATCCATTCTATCTATTATAGTTTCTTAGAAAATCACTAAAATGTGAAGACACTGGTTTTTCGAGTATTAATTTTTCATAATTTCTTTTTTGGAAGTGGTTTCATTTGCTGTAGAAATGGATGAAACCACAACAATATTTCAACATTTGTTGCATTCCCCAATCATCCAGGTTTCGTATGCATCTTTTGGAAACATCTATTATATTTTCTGAGAAAATCACTAAAATGTGAAAACACTGCTTTTTCGAGCATAAATTTGTCATAATTTCATTTTTGGAAATAGTTTCATTCATTTTTCTGCAAAATGGATGAAACTACAACAATATTTCAATATTTGTTGCATTCCCTATATATCCAACTTTCATATGCATCTTTTGGAAGCATTCTATCTATTATAGTTTCTGAGAAAATCACTAAAATGTGAAGACACTGCTTTTTCGAGTATTAATATTTCATAATTTCATTTTTGGAAGTGATTTCATTCTTTTTGCTGTAAAAATGAATGAAACCACAACAATATTTCAACATTTGTTGCATTCCCCAATCATCCAGCTTTCATATGCATCTTTTCGAAGCATTCTATCTATTATAGTTTCTGAGAAAATCACTAAAATGTAAAGACACTGCTTCTTCGAGCATAAATTTGTCATAATTTCATTTTTGGAATTAGTTTAATTCATTTTGCTATAAAAATGGACGACACCACAATAATATTTCAACATTTGTTGCATTCCCTAAATATCCAACTTTCATATGCATCTTTTGGAAGCATTCTAACTATTATAGTTTCTGAGAAAATCACTAAAATGTGAAGACACTGCTTTTTTCGAGCATAAATTTGTCATAATTCCATTTTTGGAAGTAGTTTAATTCATTTTGCTGTAAAAATGGATAAAACCACAATAATATTTCAACATTTTTTGCATTCCCTAAATATCCAAATTTCATATGCATCTTTTGGATCCATTCTATCTATTATAGTTTCTGAGAAAATCACTAAAATGTAAAGACACAGCTTTTTCGAGCATAAATTTTTCATAATTTCATTTTTGGAATTAGTTTTATTCATTTTGCTATAAAAATAGATGAAACCTCAATAACATTTCAACATTTGTTGCATTTACCAATCATCCAGCTTTCATGTGAATCTTTTCGAAGCATTTTATCTATTATAGTTTCTGAGAAAATCATTAAAATGTGAAGACACTGCTATTTTGAGCATAAATTTGTCATAATTTCATTTTTGGAATTAGTTTAATTCATTTTGCTGTAAAATCACTAAAATGTGAAGACACTGCTTTTTTGAGTATTAATTTTTCATAATTTCATTTTTAAAGGTGCTTTCCTTCATTTTGCTGTAAAAATTTATGAAACCACAACAATATTTCAACATTTGTTGCATTTCCCAATCATCCAGCTTTCATGTGAATCTTTTCGAAGCATTCTATCTATTATAGTTTCTGAGAAAATCACTAAAATGTGAAGACACTGCTTTTTCGAGCATTCATTTTTCATAATTCCATTTTTGGAAGTAGTTTAATTCACTTTGCTGTAAAAATGGATGAAACCACAATAATATTTCAACATTTTTTGCATTCCCTAAATATCCAAATTTCATATGTAACTTTTGGATTCATTCTATCTATTATATTTTCTAATAAAATCATTAAAATGTGAAGACAGCATGAATTTTTCATAATTTCTTGGAAATCTTTCATAAATATAAAAATTGGTCATTATACTGCAAATGTTGTCTGAATCAGTAAAACCGTAGAGTAATATTATTTAATTGGGATGCAATAAATGTTTTCTTTGGCTACCTGAAATACTTCTGTGAATTTTTGCAAAAGAGTAGTCGCCGTAATAAAACATTTCTCGTATATAAGCTCGTCGCAGTTCACAAACTATCATCATTCTGCTTGAGACCAGCAAACGAAACAGTCATGGAGATTACCAACGACAAATACTTGTACTTCAACGAAGAATCGCTCGAGAATCACGATCTCAATGAATTCAAGAAGATAGATTCACATATCACAAAAGTGGAGCATACAATTTTGTTAAGAAATTGCTTAAGAAAATGCGACGTCGAGGAAATCAGAAAATTGATTTGGAATCTTCTACAAGTTTTTAGAAAAAACAAACTGTCATCAACTTACGAGGCGCAGTTCAAGAAGATCGAAAAGACGACAACAATTAACAATGATTTGGTGCTCAGAATAAAAATGTTTGTGCAAGAAATCAAGATTTTCTATAAGAAATACGAGTACAAAGTGGAGAAAACTCTGACGATTGTTAATCGTATAGACATCACCGACAATTTCCAACCGGCCCCTGTTCAAGAAATGCTCATCATCAAAAGCATTTCGGTTATGACCAAGAAAATCATCGTTTCTGTATTTGAAGTCACAAAAGTTTACCATAAGATCCTTGATCAAGTTCCGAAAGATTTTAAATATAACTTGTTGAAAATCGAATCGTTGATGGAATGTAAAAGTTCGAATAACCTGGTGGATTTGCATGAGGTGCTGAAGAAGTTGTTGTTGGTTTTAAAGCAACATAACTGTGTGGAATTTCGCGGAGAGTACAAGGATCGAGTGAATATTATATTGAGAATATACAAGTTATCGAATAACAAATTGTCGAAAACTTTCGGTGACGTCGCTAAGATTGCGAAGAAAATTACGATTTTGGAGTCGGCCACCAAAAATATGGTTGTTATTTTCGAGAAAGAAGCTACGAAAATTTTGAATCATTTCAATTACATCGATGATAACTCGAAAGAAATGCAGAGATGGATCGAAGTTCTATTGAAAAATGTTATAAAATGTTACAGAGAATTGAAGCGTGCATTCGAGGAGATCAAAAGCGATATAGATTCCACGTGGAAAAATTAAAAAAAAAAAGTGTATAGTTTAAGAATTAATGTATATTATTAATTAAGTGTTTCAAGTTTTCTAATTAATGTATTTGTTGTGTGTAATTAAATAAAATAAATAAATAAAATAATTCTGTAAACTAATCATATTTTTATTTGTTTTAACGTATTTAAATTGATTTCTATGATTTTACCTAGCAGATAATGTCATAAATTTGTATATTGGATTCAATTAGTGCGCGTTTACGATTGAAAACATTTACGTATTAATAACGAGTGTAAAAAGAAATATTGCATGTAGAGCAGAACGTTCGCAACAACTGTTACCACCCAGTCGATATCCACCAAAACGCAGTTTCTTTTCAATTTCAACCCTTAAGCTCATTCTCATTAAGTGCTAAAATCGTTGCATAAGCACCTAGTGGAAACAGGTTTCTGCGTTGTGATTGGTGCACCTGTTACCACCCCGCCGCGCTTCGTCCAATCAAAATGCAAGGGCGCAGCCCCCTTCATGACTACGACGTCGAAAACGTCCGCTGGATATTACTGCACTTTGCGTCGCGACGCCGAAAGCGTACGCCGTACACTGTTTGTTTTTTTTTTCGGGTAATCTCGATCCGCACACACAGTTTTTCACTCATGAAAATGTCCTTTAATTCCAACGATCACTGGGATACTAATACAGTAAGTCAATAAATTTATAATACAACTAATTTAAAAAAATATACGTTAAAGTAGAAAAGTATGACTTATTTATTAAATCAATTATTTAAGTTTTTCCTATATAATTTATTACAATTGATTTTAGTGCGTTTTGATTATGTTTATTTTCTATTAATTCAGCTTGAATATTTTTCCTCATCATCTATTTTTCATTCTCACTTTATTGTATTTTGTTCAAATTAAATTCATTCTATTAAATATTCAAGAATAAATCTATTTAAGTTTAATTCTAATTCATTCATTTTTATTCACATGTAATCAAAATAACATTTTACTTCATACTCATTAATTTTGTTTAAATATATTTAATACGCTTTTTATATTGCATACTATTTCCTAACAATTTACAATTAGTTTTATTTTTAGTTACAGAAAGTAAATTTCATTGAATATCCGAATTAATTTAACTAACTCTTAATTAAGTTTCATTAATCTTGTTTTTTTCTTCAATTCTATTGCATTTTATAGGTCAATTTTTATAACAAATAATATTTATTATTTTTACTTTTCTTTACTCTTCATTTTTTTCTTAAATATCTTAACAAGTTTACCAAAAATTAAAGAAATTGTAAGTAAGTTCCCGGCGCGTCCACCATAGTTATTAGTATTGCAAATAGATTCTTTTCATGTACAGTGGAACCTGGCTTAACGAGTTTAATTCGTTCCAAAATTTCCAGATTTTTACTCGTACAGTGAAATATATTAAAAAATACACATAATATGTGTACACAAGTTTTAAAAATGATGCAATCCGGGATTTCTCTTCTAATCGCCACTCGTTATGCGAAACGTCGCTCGTTAAGAGAGTCATTTTTTCGAGGTTCCACTGTATTTTGAAATGTAATACTTGCTAATTGATTTATTTAAGAACTAGGAATATGTTTGTTTCTTCTAAATAATAAGAAAAAACTATAATTACTTATGTAGATTCGTTAAATATCAACAAATTATTTCTTAGGGTGGTGACTTTCCTCCGAATTATCCCAACGAATTGGCGAGTTACGGCGGCATCTGGGATCCTCACCATTGTCTTGGCGGTCAGAATCCTGCAATTTCCGGTTATCCCGAGATCCTGACCGCATTCAACCCCGACATTGGTAACAGCTCATCAAAACAAAAAATCTTCGTTTTGCTCACACTGTATTTCTTATACAGCTTGGCCGAGGCAGCAGTGCGGCGGCATGGTTTCCAACAGGATGTCCAGAAGCGGAAGTAGCTCCAGCAGTCAGAAGAAGACAAGACGTCGCGTTGCGACTATTGCCCAAAGACGTGCTGCGAACATCCGCGAACGAAGGAGGATGTTCAATTTGAACGAAGCTTTCGATAAACTTAGACGAAAGGTAGTTTCTTTTTTTGATATAAAGTGAAAATATAATAGAACAGGTGAAATTGTAATGAAACTTATGTTTAGGTGCCTACGTTTGCATACGAAAAACGTCTGTCGCGCATCGAAACTTTGAGATTGGCCATCACCTACATCAGTTTCATGGCCGAATTGCTGCACGGTCACACGCCTGAACACAAGAATTCGGATGGGTATTCTCAAAGAGAATACGTGCCCTATGGAATCATCAATTGAACTTCTATTTATATTTTCTTCTGAACGTGTCTAGTCTTCCATTTTGTGATATGTGTATTATAAATTGATATTTATAGTGGCTAATCAGTATATATTTGCCAATAAATGTACTATAATTATTTAAAAAAAAAAACATTTAAACTAATAGTTGTAAACCACATGATTTTGTTTTTAAATGAAAAATATTGAAATTACATTAAAAGCATTTGAAACTTCAGTATTTCTTTCATTTTACCTTAAAAGAAAATTACTTGTATAACAATTTACTCCAAGAAATGCAAAAATGTCTTCTTTTGAATTGTATAGTCAAACTCATCTTCCATCTGAATATTTTCTCATTTCTTTTATATATCGCACAGATTTTATATTTCTACACATATGTCATTAAATTATTTATAATTTACTTTTCTACTACATTTGTAGCTCACTACATAATACATATGAAGAATTATGTAAATACCTTTAGATATTTATGTTGTTGACTATGAATGACATTTTTTATTTGATTAGAAAAATTAAGTTTGTTTTAAATTCAAATTAAAAAAAATCATAATTTTGAAAATATGAATTGTTGGTAATTCATCCAGGTACTTCTTTTTCTCTTAGTGCATCTATCATCTACTGCTGGATGAATGAGGTATGCAACTTAAATTGCATCTACACATCTGCCAGAAATACACGTGCTTGAAATACCTTACATAACCTTGTTTTGAAAAGATATATCCATACTTCACTAACGTGTTTGTTATTATTTCAATGTAGTTTTATTTTTTAACAATTATTCTAAGTGTTAATTAGAATATATACAACGATGGCTATGTTGGCAGAGAAACGGTACAAAACCAAATACATTCTAAACCCAAAAAGCAATGATTGGTCCAAAGGTAATATTTTCGTTAATTATAATTTGCATTTACTAAAATTGTAGAAATATTCAATAAATTAATAATCATTTGTTTTAGATGAATCTAAGTTTGGACAAAAGATGTTGGAGAAAATGGGTTGGTCGAAGGGCAAAGGTTTAGGATCGAAGCTGGATGGAATGGTTGACCATGTGAAGGTGTCCTACAAGAATGACAGCAAAGGTATGGGCTTCCAGGATAATGGAGAGCAATGGACACAGCATGAAGATCAATTTGCTGCTTTGCTCAAAGAGCTGAATAACAGTGAAGATGCTGTCCAGCCCAAACAGGAAGACAGCAAGTTGAATCTTGAAGAGAGATCTAAAAAATCAAAGAAACGCGTGCACTACCATAAATTCACAAGGGGTAAAGATTTGAGCCGTTATTCTCAGAAGGATCTGGCAAATATATTTGGCCGTACGACTTTGGAAAAGAAAGTTGTTGTGAAAGAGGAGGAACCTGAAGAGGTCCAAGTTAAAGAGGAAAAAGAAAATGATAATCTGAAGAATGGTGGATCTATGGCAGATTATTTTAGAAAGAAGATGGCTAAAACTGGTCTGAATAAAATCAATATTAAGAAAGAGAGCAATGATTCAGAGGAGGAATTGGGAACAGTGGGTTTCGGTTTTGGGGCTTCTGTGAAGAAGGAAAATGATACAAACTCGGGTTTTGATTTCAGCAAAAAAGGATTGTATAAAGGTTTCATGCCTGCTGCTAAAACGGAGGAAGAAACTAGCGTCGTTAAAGAACCGAAAGAGATTGATTGCAGCAAGAACGCTTTGTACAGAGGCTTCGTTTCTGCTGTTAAAGTGGAACCTGAAGAAGTTGATGAATCGAATGTGGGCAAGAAGAAAAGGAAACTTGATGCAAATGAAGTTGAAGATAACTGTGATTCAAATAAGAAGAAGAAGAAAAAGAAGAAATGCAAAGATGTAGAGGTGTGCAATAATGGCACATCTGAAAGCATTCCTGCAACTGACCAAGAAGCAGAGCCTAGCAAAAAGAAGAAGAAAAAGAAGAAATCCAATGATGTTGTTGAGACTTCAGAGAATATTCCATCCCTTGAACAGGAAACTGAGCCTTCTAAAAAACAGAAAAAGAAGAAGAAAAAGAATAAAGATTTATAATAATTTTGGATATGAAATATAATAATGTAATTTATTTTTTAAATATAACTACTTTGCAAATGCGATAAATCACTTAGTTCCTTGATTTTTGTAAACATACTTATATAAATATATATAATTTTAATTGAAGAAGTTATTCAAACTTTGCTCAAGATAGGCAACCAAACTATCTCTTAAATGTTGAGGTTACATACCTTGTTGTGTCAGATTTAAACATGTGCTTCGTTCGTTAGACAACCATAACCATACTTTATGTTCTCAACTTGAGTTTGTTTCAGTCTGTTTTTACCATTTAACAAAGATGCATTCAACGAAATTCCGTGACCTTCTGCAGGACTTCAAAGGTGAATTCCATAAAAAGAAAAACAAGAGGAAATTGAGGGAAAATGGAGACGTAACTGTGGAAGAGACAAAGAAGAGGAAATTGAACAAGAATACAGAATTAAGTAACAGCAATACAAGTGTAGAACTTGGCATACAATGTGAGCTGATTCAAGTGTACAAAAAGAAAGGTTACAATTTCTTTGGTGAAAAGATATCAAATGCAGGTACAGATAATCCAGGATTGACTTTGTCTGATTCTGATGATGAAACAATAGATGCACGAAGCAAAAAAGTGAGATTCAGCAGTGTCACAGAAGAACGCATTATTCCAAATAATGATGATACAATTCAGAATGCAGGACATGGGATTGATAATGCAGCATTTGATATTAAAGCGAAATCACCAGAAACTAAGAAACATGTGAAGGAGAAAGGTGCTGGAATGGTAAATGCAGCCTTCACTTTAAATGGACAAGATGAATCCACATACAAAAAAGAATTGGAGGTGAGAAGTGGATCAATCAAAGCTGGAGGCACTTCAAATATCTGTTTCAATGATGTTCAGGAAACTGTTGAAAACATGCAGAAGAGCATTGAAACATTCCAAGCTGAGATTGAGAATGATTTGAATAAGGATAAAGATTTGGAGTTGTGCGAAGCTGATTTGACTGCTAACAATGAGATATTGGATGATGGATGTATAAAAATTGGTGTAAAGGGGATTGTCTTGAATGAGCAATCCAAGTACATTAAATGTGATGATATTAACAACCCAAAAAGTTCCATCAGGAAGCATCTGAAGAAAGATTTTATCCTTGAATTTAAGAACACCAATTTACATCAAATCTTTGGCTATGGTATTAAATTGGATACTGAACATAATGAATAAATTTATGTTATTAATATTAATATTTTTTTTAATAATTGACTTTATATTATTATACAGAGCAAAACGTTATAGTTTTATACCATTTATTTATTACTAGGGAATTATTATATAAATAAATTCATACAATTTACAAATAATTTGCATTTTTATTTTACATCTTCAATATTAAGTAATTATTTGAAATTTTATTGGAAAACAAATTCTTTATTTTGAATACATTAATTTTCAGGTTTTGAATTATCTGTATTCGTGACACCAGGTATATCGACTTCCAATTTGGTGTCGTTGTCTTGAAGACATCGTCCGCAAACCGTGCTGTAATTTGGTGGAGGTTCAGTATACAAAGCGGCATCCTTCTCGACGGTGGTGTAATAGTCTGGAGGTGCGCTAACACCAGCTAAAATCAATACAAACTATAAAAATCTTATGATACCAAAGCATCTAAGTATTACGAAAAGGAGCCACCACATCATCCGTAGAAGGTTCGTGATGAATTTGGACGGGGAAGGTTCGATTGGGAACGTCTTGCAGATGGTAGATGCATCTTTCATCAACTAAAATCCGATTAGCCAATTCGCGATGTCTCCGATTGTGCACGTGCCTCAAAAGGACTCGATCCTCTCGTAATTTGCGATAGTAATGAATGCAAGCTAAACTGCCCATGCAGATGAATATCAGGATCAACCAGAAGTACCAGAACTGTGCCATCTTCCTGAATGTGGTGATGCAGCATCCATAATCGCAACAACTTTCTCCGCGCAAACAAAAATAAGGGATGATCTCGTTGTCACCAAGCAAATACTCGCAATCTTTGAAATACATCACCTGCAAATATAATTGCAATTAGGGGATGTGTAGAAGTCTCGATGGACGAGACCAACGTCCACGTGAGAGACTGCAATTTGCTCGTATATATTTCGCAGGGTCATTGCATTCAATTCAAATTGAATCAATACAAAACAAATATGATATGCAAGTTGCTTTTCTGACTTATGACATTATACACAATTTATTTCATATCTAATAATTGATTTAAAAAAACAATTTTAAACACAGCACTTTTACTAAATCTTATGAAAAATAATACAAATTGTATTTTGTAATTAATATTAATTACAATAAAATTAATATGCATTAATATAATTATGAAATCGCATACGTTTTCATCAATGACTAGAGAAATCCAATAATTAATATCAAATAGTTGACAGAATACAAATTAATGAAAACATTGACTAATTTATTTTTTTCAGCTCTTAATTTTTTATGATATAAAGAGGACGAATTAGTTTCCAGTCAGGTTAATAGTATGTTAGTTGTATGTAAATATTATAGGAATAAACAGAACAAGCTTTTGAAGTTGATAATTGTTTATTTATAACAATAAAAAAACATAAATAAAGAACCACAGAAAATTTCCAAATAGTTATTTATTGAATCACTGTATCAATTACAAGTAAGGTTCAGGGAACTCAAAAGTGACCTCCCTGCCTGTGAGTTTCTTGTAGACAGACGAAAATGTGTCCACCTGTAACAAAAAAAAAACATTAGTTATTATTCAAATTATAGAATTGCAGAAATGTCATCATTAATGTATTTTTAAGACATTTTAGTGCATAAAAATTACCTTATGCTCAATCGTGGTTTGTTGGTTTTTGTCCAAATGAACCTTGGTGAGCTGGGAGCCGTCAAGTTTTACACGGATACGCTTGCCTACGATTTCAGCAGGATAAACCAGATCCTCCAAAATGGCATCGTAAACGTGAGTCAGGGTGCGAGAGCGTGGGCGCTTCTGCTTGCTCTTGTTGCGGGTCTTCCTGGTTGGCTTAGGAAGGATCTTGCGCTCGCCAACAAAGACGACGTGCTTTCCGCTGAATTTCTTTTCCAATTCACGGACCAGCCTGGTCTGAATCTTTTGGAACTTTTTAAGTTTTGGCATCGGCACATAGATGATAATCGACTGCAAATAAAAATTTAAAAAATTGTAAATCAAATCTCATTTACATTTGATAAAGTTCAAAAGTTAACAGATTATAGAACCCAATATCATTATTTACTGAATTTTATTATAAATTCAATAGTAATGTTGTAGTTACATATTTTACTTTATAAAGCAAAGTGATGCATTAGTTGTTCAATAGTGAACATATTGATTATTGCAATAAACAGTTAATAGTAAAGATTTATGTAATTGAAGAGACTATAAAGTTAATTATGGATAGAAAGTTGCATATGCAAGTCTTCAATAAGAGAAATTTGTAATTACAAACTGTAGTAGTTTGAGTGAATAAAACAGTAATAGCTGTGGTAATTACCTTCTTGTTGTTAAGTTCGATTTCCCTGGCTTTAGTAATATGCAATTCCCTAAGTTGGGCCTTCAAGTCGGAGTTCATTTCCAGCTCCAAAATGGCTTGGGCAACTTGGGTCTCGAAGACATCGGGCTCGGTGCCTCCCGCTTTCATGATTTTCGTCGACATCTGTAAAACGAAACAATATTAGCATAAACTCACCCCAAACACTTAAAGGTTATGTTTGCAGCTGACGAAAACAACAATTTTTAAGAACAAAATTTAATAATATAATAAGTTACTTTAAGAGAATCTACGAGCAAAGCGGTCGCAAGTTACGAAAACAGTGAAATATCCGGTGTAAGGTTATGAATGCACTTAGGTAGTCACAACACAAGACAACACTAGGATTTCATCCTCGAATATCGCCAACAGTTTCGACCATCAAAAAATGAATTTCAGTGTAAAATGATTGCTGATAAATATACTTGCGTTTTCTATTAATATTTGTTAAACATTCAATGTATTTACTAGTAAAATTGTGTTTTAGACTAACGAAAACACTGAAACCAAAACGTGTACCTTGTCGAGTTTTTCTAAAAGAGAAGGAAACGGCTGGACAAGGATGCTAAAAGCCCTCTTACTTCGAACGCATGCGCAAGAAGCAATACCAACTTGCAAGATTTAAAAGACACTACAAGTTAACCACTTTAATTTTACAGAAATATGAATTATAATGTACTTTAATTGCAACAATAATAATCTATAACAATAATATTCAATATTAACATCATTTGTTTATGATTACTTTATGTAATAAGTAAATTCTTCAATTGAAATACACTGAGAAACAAACTGAACCAGTTGGTATTGCTGTTTGTCAAATTGTTGGGTTAGCGGTTCAGTGTTTATATTTTCTTTTAAATACATAGATAAAGTTAGTACAAGATATACAAGTAAGTAATAATTAATTAACAATACAAGCAAAGAATCACGTTAGTAAATTTTCTAGAGTTACAACATGGGTGATAGGTATAACATCCACAGTCAATTGGAGCATCTCCAATCAAAATACATTGGTACTGGTCATGCTGATACTACAAAATACGAATGGCTGGTAAATCAACACAGAGACAGTTGCTCCAGTTATTTGGGCCACCCAGATTTGCTCAACTATTTTGCGATTGCTGAGAATGAGGCAAAGGCTAGAGTCAGATTTAATTTGATGGAGAAAATGCTTCAGCCTTGTGGACCACCCCCAGACAAACCAGAAGATTAAGTATATTCTTTATAATTTATTAAAGACAATTTTTTGTAATACAATAACTATACAATAAATAAAAAATAATACTACTGAATGAACGCTTTCTATCAATAACTTTGGTGCAAACACAGACCACACAAATAAATGTCCCCTTTGTATGAAAGTCACTGAATAAATTGTTATTAGAATCACTAATCTATAAATCACATTTGTTTGTAAGACTTCATCTATTTCATACTTCTTTTCATTCATCAGAAGTAGAGTTGATAGTATTTGGAAAGCATAGGTGTGGCATATTGTTATAGTGAAAACTATAAAGGGGATGTAGCTTTCTAATCCTATGTAGGCTGGAGCCAAGTCGATGCTAGCAATGCTGTTGCTATGGCCCTGGCAGAAGAATAAAGAAAATCCGAGCCAGGAATGGATTAAATTCAATATTTCAATGGATTGAACACGTTTTACAGAAATTGCTGAAATTAAGATGCACGCGGGGATCAATAAAATGTTGTAAGGTCTTAATAACAACGTGATTATTAGTACCCAAGTAGTTATAAGCTTCTTGAACAAATTCCCTTTTAACGCAATAGAAGAAAGACCAATTATAAACCAAATGAATTTCCCTAATTGAGGATCGTTTGTGAAATGCATTTTGAAGACGAAAATGGCGAAAAACGTGACTGCGAAAAAACAGCGTTGCAGAACTTTCGGCTTATAAAAATAACTTAAAATGATTAAATTGAAAATTAAAGATGTTGCAAAGAAGATTTGATAATAATTGAAGTTATCTTCTCGTAAAAGCCAATCACTGAAATCAGGATAAGAAGCCCACATATCTCCAGTCGAATTCATTTTCCTGAGAAACCTAAAGCTAATGATGATTAAAAGAGGGATCAGTGAAGTAAGAATAGAAGTCTTCAGTGATAAATACGATAAAATTAAGCTTACTGAACACGTGAAGAATAAATAAATTTGATGTTCTTCCTCGATAAAACTAGAAGATTGCAATAAAATTGCATGAAGCACAATTGGAATAGTCGGAATTAAGTTATATGATTGAAACTTGAGGCTTTTGATTGTTGCTATCATAGCGCAAATCAAGGGAATGTAATAAAACTGAGTGTTGCAAGTTAAGAAGAAGCTCAGTAAGATGACGTAAAGGTAAACGTTGTATGCGTTGACTTTTGTTGCAATTAAAATTAAGCAGTTGATGCTTAAAATCATAGAGAATATTAGGAAAACGGTGTTTTGTTGTACGGAACTTTGAACCAAGTTTTCGCTAATAGTATTGATGCATCCATAATACAAATCGTAAATCTGCTTCCCTTTCTTTGGATCGTAGTGTTTTAAATAATCTTTGTGCATTTGTGTAGCTTTTACGAAATTCTCTTCGCAAATATTGGAATTTCTCCTGAGCACCAACAAATTATAATATAAAATGTACAGTTGCTCTTCGAGCTCGTAATCTTTAACGAAATATTGAACCGTCTTTCCTATACTACTAGGTGGTATTTCTATAGCGAACAAAGTGGATAAGGTTGTAGGAATATCAGTTTGCGAGATGGCTTCGTTACTTCTTGAAGTGAAGTTACCGAATACCATCAATGGAACGTGCGTTTCCGCGTAAGTCGTACCCCCGTGTCCGCCGCTGTCCTTCATACCGTGATCTCCTGTTACCAAAACCAAAGTCTCCTTGTCCCAACTCCTAGAAGATTCCACCAGCTGTTCAATCACCACATCCATTTCCCTCAGTTTGGGCTTTATCAAGGGACTGAATGGGCCTTTCACGTGTCCAATATGATCCAAACCTGAAAATTTAAATCCATTACAATTACAAATTCCATTGCAATTGCATCAATAAAACCTAAATAATGTAAGAACATGATATCCCAATCATCATTCAGCATCTCCTCATCTAAATGTCTTGTGACGTTATCATCGACCTCCTTGAAATCGTTAACAAAAAACGACGTTGTTCCATCCATTCTCATAAATAAATCTGGATACATTCTTATCCAAGTATCATCTCCAAAAAAGATCATGTTCAAGCCAGCAGCTTTGGCTCTATCCAAGAAACTGTCATCGCATTTTGTGGTTGCTCCCAAATTCAATATGATATCAACGAATTGCGGAATTCCACCTGTGGTTAACGCCTTGATCCTTGGTAGGGTAACAGTTGGAGCTTCAACTTTAACTTTCAGAATTCGATTATTCTCTTGGTAAGTGAAAGGCATGTTATCCAAAGTAACGAAATCTTCGCGCAAAGCGTCTATGATCACGAATATCAAACGTTCGATTCTCGGTTTATATAGAGTCGATACATTGAGTTTATAGTCGAGTATTTGGCTAGGGGGCTTGATGACTTCAAAGTCATTTTGTTTCATGGGCAGATAACCTTTCAAATAGATGAAAACACTTATAATTGCAAGGAAGAATTGGTGGAAGATCATTTTCGTTGCCACATGCTCTTATCAGACTCTCGATAACTTTAAATGAATTATTATTTAAAAGGATGAATGTTAGGTTATGATCCTGTAAATAGAAGTGAATATAACAACGAACTTGAGAACATAAAAGCATGAAATGCAATTGCAACTTACAGTAATGCATTTTAGAGCTAGGAGATGCTTGAAACTCGATTATTATTAATAATTCATTATAAATATACGTTAGTTAGTTATTAAGCAAACTTGATGGGAAATTTTCTAGTTCATAGAATATTAACGACATGTTCCAGACTATTCCTAATTAAGGGTTTATTGAATATTATAGTACGAGTATGAGGAAAAAAAGAAGTTTAAATCGATTGGAGAAAACCTTTTGCTTTAAATTATGTATTGAATTGTATGATCGTCCTCCTCCAAACTGCGCCTCATCTCTTTTTCGAGTTCGCTTCATTTGATTACATCCTTTGCAGCTGTCATTTGTTTTCTAATTTGACGTTTGTTCGATGGAAACTAGTTTTCCCGAATGCAGTGATTTTAAAATTCTTCTGTTTTCTCCATAAGTTTTCCGTTTCACGCAGCAAATTTTTGCTGCAGCCCTTGTGATGTCTGAATCTGAAACGCCAGTATTAAGCCAGTATTTCTCGGACTCCGAGAACAAGGCGATAGTGGATCAAGAGGGCAATCAAGTTGCCAATAACATCAACAGCAAGGAGGAACCAAACGTTTGTCGTCTGTTTTCCAAGACGCCTTCCGTCCTCAAAGATCCCACTGCAGCTTTCTTCGATTCCATTGGGACCTCAGCTAGTGCCAACACTGGGATTATTAATGATCTGGGATTGAGCAATGCCATTGAAGTGAGTGGATTGTTGATTAATTGTAGAATAATTAATTCATTATTATAATTTTAGGATAATTACAATGCTAGGTTGGCTTCAGGCTCAGAGATTGATAGAAGAAGAGATGCATGGATTCCTACAGAACGCACCAGGCAATGTTTGATAGCTTATGCCACTGCAGCTGCTGGGACTTATTTCCCAGAGAGGGATCAGCTCACTATGCCAGGTGTTATTTTAGAAGAGGAATTGGTAAATTTTTATATTAATAATTATTTTATCTATATTTAAACCATGTGATTTTTCAGGGTGACTGTGTTGGTGATGCTGTTTCCATGTGTTTGGGTGAAGCTGAGGCTTCTCAGAGAAGAATCTTGACTGCCAATGATGTGACTCAGGATGAGAGAGGTTTGAGGGAATTGGTGCAAGCTGGATCCTATAGGTAAACCTAAATAAACTGAAAGACTCATTTAAAACAATTTAATTTAAGGGCTGCTATAAATTTAACTGCAAGGTTGTTAAATATCTATGGGCAAGGAAAAGGAAGATCTGGGTTTGCCAGTAAACATTCGCCCAGATCTTTGCAGCTGTGGTTCACAAGAATCGCTTTGCTTATAAAAATCAAGTCTTATTCGATAGCCGAAACCGAGGCGGAGCAATTTGGGGAATTAGATAAACCCGATTTATTCTATCAGGTAGGATTATTGATTTGCGGTTGCTCTTTTGATTTTGATGATCTAATAATAATCTCGGTAGTTCTATCCGGAGATGTATGGAGGTCGTTCGGGATCGATAGCTTCGTTCTCGTTCCGTCTGCTGTTAGGAGAGTTACCAATGCATTGCAGCAAAACTAAAGAGTCTTTGACGAAGTTATTCAACCTCTTAGCAACTATCAAACAGGTATTCATTATTGTTACTAATAATAATTCGTAGATTGATCATTTGATTTTTGTTGAAGATTTTGAAAAATCTACGTGGAGAGTTGTGCGAAGACGGGACTCCAGCTGAGATCAGCGCCGCAGACCGCGCTGATTCCATCAAGCTTTGGTCCTGTCGCGAATCTAGGATAATGCATTCGATCATCAACTGCGCCTTAGTTCAGAAGGATTACGAATTGGCCACCAATTTATTAGAACAATTATGCGATAGGTTAGTATATTATAGTTTAATCAATAGCATTAATACATTTCTAGTATATAATTTAGGGACGAAACACCTCAAGATTCGTTGTTATCCGCTCTGGGACGACTCTATCTTCAAATGGGAGATGTCTCCGCAGCTGAGATGTGCTTTAACAAGGCGAGATCTCTACGAAACACGCCGGAAAATTTCAGAGAGCTAGTGGATAGAGGCCTCATAGCTGTAGCCCAGAACGCCTTCACCGAAGCCTATCTGTTCTTCGAGAAAGCCAGCGAATTGCAACCGAATAACGTGATGGTAAACAGTTTAAAATTTTGTTGTAAATCATGTAAATCAATTAACAATTATTGTTCAGGTGCTGAACAACATGGGAGTGTGCTTGCTGTACTCCGGCCAACTGAAGGAGGCTATCGGAGTGTTAGAGTCTGGTATCACGCTGAATCCTGTCCAGGGTCTGCACGAGTCTCTGGTCCTGAATCTGTGCACGCTGTACGACATGGAATCGTCGAAGGGACGTCTCAAGAAGTTCGCATTGCTCAGACAAATTTCACGGTACCACGCAGATGCACCGACTACAATTTTAGAGAAGCTTTACGGATAACTTTCAGTTAGAACAGTAGAACAGATTTTATTGCAATTTTACCTACGTTTTAAATGTATTTATTTTTTATATACATATTTAATTGAAGTTTACACAGAAGAAAATTGAAGATTTTGAAAGAGAGAAAAAAAAAAGAAGAGATATTTAACAGAGAATTTTTATTTGTTACGCGATTTTAGTGAGAAATCTTATAACTTATTTGTTTTCTTTGAACCGCTACGATTACTGCTTTATTATTATATTTATTTATTAGTTTATTTTTTCGTGTTTCGTTTCTTTTTTACTCGTTTTATTTCCGCCGCACGGTTTCAGTTTCAGGAGGGAAGGGCCAATAAATTCATTTTATTTTCTTTACTTTTCTTCCGTTTGGAGAAGTAGAGAGCTGTATTCTTCCTTAGACAGAGCAGTTTATAGTTTTATTTATTTAGTCAAGTGTGAAAATAGTCCTTGCACTCTTAAGACGTTAGTACTTAGAGATTTATTCATTTGAACAAGAAATAATAATATTGAATAATCTATTTTCAAATGAATTTATCTAACTTCTTGTTGCCATATTTGTTAACAGCTAAAAGGTCGATTCACAGTGTGCTGCTGTTACACGTGTGTTGAATATGAAAGTGAATCGACCTTCAATAGGCGCTTTCGAAAGCTAGTTCTTGTTATTATATTATATATATATTTTAACAATAGTTTTAGTTGTTTACTGGATTTATAAGTTATTTGTTCGATTTCTATAGTTAATCAAGTTATAACAGAAATACTATTAGCATTGGTATTACCATCAGATATAAGTTTAACTGATGCCAAAGGTATCAGGAAAATGCCGAGCTCAAAAATAATGACCAAACACGTATTTCGCTTCTAAAATCACCAAATGTTTGGGTGATGAAACTCCGATTGAATAATCACATTCGTAGTATTAGTTGAATATAATTATTCAACGTTAGTTAAATATACACATATAACATTATTTTCTTTTGATGTGTGCGATTGGATGTGAACGCGTCGAAGAGGGGTTGCGATGTTTTCTTGCGAATGATATTACGTGGGAGGATTATTAAATTTCGAATTTATTGGCACGTTTCTTAAGGACTTTCGTTTTGGGTGATCAGGGTTAATTCGACTTCGGCCAAAGGTGAAATAATAACGGTTGTGCGTTCAGAGACGGAATGAGACGTAGGCAATACTTATATAGAACAATAAAATGATGCATTATTACACGCGTACACGTGTTTCAATGAGCAAAGTGTTTGTTTTTTCTTTTTATATTTAGAAGCGCACTGCGATATATTATTCGATAAACCTGAATAAACATTTGCGAAACGCAAGTTTCTTTCTTCTCTCGTTTTACTCTTCAACATCTGTGATTGAAATACATTTTTTTTTTTGGTTTGTTTATTGAATGGTGAATTTTGGTTTTCTTCCAAGTCACGTATAAATGATTCCAGCAAATGGATATATCAACAACGTGATCTATAAATACGATTTATTAAACACACTTCGCACAATCTTTCCTCGAGCTTATCGAAATTGATTGATCGAACGAAACCTTGAGAACTGTTATTCTATTACACAGGTAAATGACTTGATCGATTTGAATATGAGCTGGCCAGCATACAAATCCATGGTTACAATTGTTATGTTGTAGTTAATTACTATAACAACAATGAAATATTTGTCACTTAGCAACAGTTTTCTTTAATTATACAATAACTAAAATAACAATGATAATTCAATAGCAATTATTATTATTTAATTCATTAATTCATTCACAAAACGTTATTCAAATTTATAAAATGGTAAATTTTTTTAATCGATTGAAGCACATTTAAATTCAAAAACTACACTTTTTTTTAGTTAAATCAAGAATTTCCATTCATAAATTTAATAAAGTTGTAGTTGTAATGGAAAAAAATCTAATTCATACAGTTGAGGTGCAATTATTAAATAATGCTTTTTTCTAATATTCATTCATGATTTATAGTAATAGCAAAATTACGCGACTCGACACTTGCCAAGTAATGGAGTAATAGATGTGTAATTAATATTTTTAATTGAAGTATATTTTTTTTTATTTTATTACATTATTCAGAAATGTTTGAAATAAATTTTCTAACATTTTTTATGAATGAAAGTTTTCTAAGAAGTTTGTTAGAATGGAAAAAGTTCCGACGTTTATGACATCATAATAATAATGCTTGAAGTAAAAACATGTGCTTAGAAGTATCCAGATTTACGGCTTTACCCTTTTTTCTGAAAGAAAACTTTCCATTCTAGATAGATGAAAACTAAACGAATGAGCTGAAAACCGTATTTAAAGTAGGTAAAAAGGAATTTTTATTATTTGAGCAATTATTGGTGAAAACTTATAATATGAAAGGAAAAACGTATTCAAATAAGATAATTTTTAATTGTTTTTAGTCGATGGAAGTATCTAATAGTAAATTGTTAGTTAAATATTTTTTTTAGTGAAAAGAAGTTTGAAAACTTAATTTAAGGTGATTTATTTTGAGCCAGAATGATAAAATTTCTTAATTGGAAAGGGGAAAAAAGTTTGAAAACTTTATTATAGTTGACCATTGATACACGGTTGTTCGACTGGTTGCGTCCACGTAGTCGCGGATAATGCGAAATTTGCAAAATTCGAAGTGCAACAAAGCGAAGGATAATCGCGTAGGAGAAATTGGGTAGGACTAAGAATAACTCTCGATGAAGGCCTACGATCAACGAAGCGTTGTTGAAATGGTCCGAAGGGTAATAAAATCGATAAACAGTACCAACAGTTGCTTTTAACATTTCTTGTAGTGGCGATGCTCTTCTTTGGCCGAGAGCAGGCATCCGTCCCATTCATTCCCGATTCCAATTCATAGCTTTCGCTCGTGGGGATTGGATGCATTTTGCTCTAGCGGAGCGGCCGACCAAGTGGAGTGCAGAATCTGACATGTGTATATTGTAACGCGGAGGACTTAGTTTGTTTTTGCAGCGTAATAATCGAATAGTTCAATTGGAAGATCAAATACATATTGTCTTTCGCAACCTCAGTACCATCATCTCCTCTCGCAAGAAGCTACATCAAAACAACAACAACAGCATCAGTTCATCATCTAAAGCCGGCATAGAAGAAAGGACTTGTACTCTGACGAGAGAAAAAAAAATCGCGATTCGCCGGTGGGGCTGCTGCCTTTGTGCCGTGGATGGACTACTAAATTATGTTTATAGTTATATTTGCATGCTGAGCGTTTTCATGAGCTTGTTAACGCAATGAAATTGCGGGCGGACGTGATACTCCTGTGTATTTTGAATTCGGCCTGGACCCTGCAGGAGGACAGACCCTTACATGAAACAGGTATTTAGGAAGAATCCAATTACTATCGCTCATCGAGCTCTCTTTCAAAATTGAAATATATGTTATTCCCTTAATCTCAGGAGCGATTATCTGCCGAGGATGAAAGGTTATTGATGATATACACACACTCACACACACAATTTTAAACCTAGGATGTTGTTAATCTTCATTCATACTACGTCCATCCACTCATAAATAAATAAATAATTAACAGGTTGAGCAGTGCGTGTGTGTTCGTCTGCGAATGCGAATATGCATATTGAATTGATTGAAGCATTGCATTCGCCACAATTAAACTTTACAAGTGTTTCCTTTTGTGATGCACGACCGTCGCGATTGAATAAATAAAATTCAATTGGCCTTTTGCCCTCCTCCGAACGATAGCAATCATCATCATCATTATTTGTTTATTGGATCCGCTTTACGTACAACTTGTTGAGTTCCTCTGCAGCCGGCAAACGAAAAATTTTATACTAACAATAGAAAAATCTTCGCGGAATTGCGCAACGATTCATTTGATGTCCACTAATGCGAAGACCACTTTGGTCAATTGGCTTCTTCGAAATTCAAACTTAATTAATATTAATTAGTCGGCGAGCCGGAAACCCATTACACACTTCGAATGCATTCAATCTTAATTGCACGGACGTTTCTATTACACGCTCAATTATCGTACAAATTATTTCGTTTTCTTTTTTCGTTCACATGCAACAAGGATTCCTTCTTCAGTTAACAATTTCTACAAGAAATTGTGTCCGCTTCCTAGGAAGTACATGAGAATTACCATCATTCATTCCCCCCGTTGACATTGAGTTGAAACCTTGAATAAAACAACAATCTGCAACAACGTTCTCTTAACTAATTTCAAAACTGGCAAACGTATTTAAAAAAATCCTAAAAGAACAGTACTTTGAAATTTATTTGATTATCCTCATAGCGAAAGATATTTGATAATTTGAAGATATACAAAGTTTGAAATGAAAAATAATTTGTCAAGCTTTATGTAAAGTTTAGGAAAGTTCGTACATTTCCAAACAACTTGAGCAAGTTTATTAAACTATTTTTTTTTCAAATTACAACATAGTAATTATTTTAAAAAGACATAATTTAAATTGCAAAATTATTGCTATTGCTTAGATTTGAGACTCGTTTGCTTTAATGATCGCTTGGAACGATGATCACGTTTCCATGAAACATTGTCTAATCTTCATGTAAATATAAACAAAGTTTATTTTTAGTCCGATGATCGGAATAGATCACCGAAGAGACGTGTTTTCTCAGCGTAATTATTCGCGCGATCGTGGAAATACAATGCATAAAAAAACGATTCCTCCTAATTAGTAAAAACTGTTCAACTCGGAGGATGAGCGTGATTAGTATCTGCGTAATTTGAAATGGTAATTTATGTGGATGCCCCCGTCTTCTGGACGACGATGATAAATTACCACAGCGATGATAAATCACAGTGCTGAGAGAGAGAGAAAAAATTATAAGAATATAAGAAAAGCAATTTCCATTGATTATTTTATAAATTTATTATTTTAAATTAATCGAAGAAAGAAATAATTTCGAGATTTATCTGAAGTGTTACAATTAACGATCAGTTATTATTAATAACGATGATAAATTATATTTACTTCGATTAGCATAAACAGTTTACTTCTGTAATTTTAATCATTTGTAATTGATGATATTGAAAAACAAGTTTATTTTCTTATATAATCTGATTATTTTGTAATATCCGATTAATTTTTTGATAATGAAAACGAATTGTATTTAATTCACACCTAAATAGAAGTTATTGAACGATTTTTTCTGCTTTTGATTATTTAACAAAGTTAAGGAACGTAAATTGAAATTTCATGTATTGGTGTTCGCATAATAAGATTAAGATTTGTTTAAAGAACAGTTTTAATAAACACATAAAATTAACAAGAACTAAAGGTAAACAAATACTGCTACTATATTTACTATTGTGTTTGCTTAAAATGTTTCGTCTACAATCTAATCAAATCTCCTATAATTTGAGATTTTAGTGAAAAGCATTTAAATTATTAAATATGAATATAAATTACAGAACGGTTTTTCGATGTTTGCTTATGTTAACAACACACAAATACTGTTAGCTTTAAGTGTGTATATAGTGTGTGTGTGTATAGGTAACGCAAATAATAAGTTTACTCTGCAATTTTTCAGTCTATAAACTTCATAAAGTCGTTGTTTGTTCGCTCCCAATTTCAAAAAGTTAACATAGATAGATCCATCAACATCCTTCAATATATGTTTATTATACATGTAATTTACAGCTTGTAAATAGTCGTAATTAGTTGCATTAATTGGATAATTTATTTGCGTCTATTGTAATTAAACGATTAGGGATTTTGTAAATCTAATGGATGCTTGCAAATTGAAGTTATCGATGTTTTTGCATGAAGCGCTCGAGTGGCGTGACTTTTCCTAGTTAAAATGTATATACTCTCTCCTATAAAGGAAGCAACAAGCTTCCATCTAGTTTGCGATGGTAATACATATACAGCCTCGAACAATGATGGTGTAATATAAACACACACACATTATAAAAGGGAGCGATGATGCGAGGAAAATGTTTCTTCGGTGATTTGGAGAGTTGCGTCTCGTGCCAAGAGGCGTTCGCGGGATGAGAGAGCAGCGCGGCGGTGTGGAAGTAAGAATTGGTTCGAGTGCCTCTGCTTGCTGCTTGCATACCAGTTTTCCACTGCCAATAAACTGAAATATACAAGCTAATAGGATGAACGCGAATAGCTCGGGTGAACGGCAGGAAAACCCGAATACACACAGCAATAATGTTCACTAGCCAAGATTTTCGTGGAACGATGCAAAACGCAGTTATGTTTTCAATACGGTAACGCATCAAGATTTCCACATAAGAGTTGGTAAACAATTCAGGAATTAGTGGACTAGTACATATTTATTTAACATATTCTTCCCAATAATCACAAGGAATAAACGTTGTAATAACAATGTTTAACTTCTTCCTATTTATTGTGTATAAAATACTTAAAATCTTTAATATTCTTCCAAATATGAATAGAAATTCACTATTATAGGTGTAAAATGAGTGAATTATAGTTCTTAATTGATATTAAGATCTTACCTATTTCATTTCCAAATGCACTAAGAGTAATTATTATAAATGTAAAGAATTTAGATGTTTGTGGACTAAAATAATTGATTACTTGCATTATGTTATACAAATATTCATTAAAATCTATAAAAATTGCTAATTTTTAACTCATTCTTTTCATCGATTTATGTAATTCCTTTCTTATAATTACAACTATGTATGTTTGTTACGTAAATGTTTATAAAGTTCTTTTTTTGTTCGTATAGTTTGTTGAGTAAAGTAATAATGATTTAACGATGCAGCTGTGCAAATTAATATGGAAAATAATTCGAAGAAATGAGTAAACATTGATAATCATTCCTCTTTGATAATGACACATTATTATTTTTCAACTTCGTGTTGCAATAACGTACTTTAAAGATTAACTGCTTCTCTGAACCACTGAAAATTGAATTACTGTGAAAATGAGTAGACAGTAATGATATTTCCACTTGAAAAATGACAACTTATTAATGTTTATGTTCATGTTATAATGACATGGATTAAAGAATAATTGATTTTCGTATAAATTATAATTTCATTGTTTAAATCGAATTAAAATCTACTTTATTTATATTTTAATGTCGTCATTATAAAATTCCTTCCAATTAAATTAATTATAATTGGATTTAATTATAAGTTTCATTGAGTGAATTTATAAGAGTCAATTGAGTAATTGGTAAAAATCAACAACGATATCTTCTCCGTACGAACAGACTTACATTTGTTTATTGAATAATGAACGAGCGACGAGACGCGCGATTATTTATCTGGTTTCCGCTCGAGTATGAGCACTTGTTGTACAGACAAAGAAGTAAATAAATAATGTATCAAAAAAAAAATGATATTCCGACCATCATAACAAGACGTAAATATATGTTAAATTGTATGCAAATTTGCGGTGAGCGAAAAAAAGAAAGAAGGAAGCAGGGCTTTTGATGGATTCACATTAAACGACGTGACTCGGCCATTAAGTTAAACTGGACCTCTTGTTTTACATTATTCGAACGTTGTTTATCGCTTGCAAAAGGCCGTCGATGCAAAGTCGTAAATATAAATGGTAAACGAACGCTTGTAACGAGCATACATTATGAGTTCTTCTAAGAATGTCTTCGATAAAGCAAATTCGCCGGAACAGAAAAGACGAAATTATTATTTATCTTAATAATTGTTTTCCTCGTAATGAAGTTTAAATGTTAAATTTCGTTTGGTGAATAATAATTATTGTTTTCTTTTGAAATTCGTTATAATTTAGTAAGATTTCGTATCATGTTTTGATGCTGAAGCTTCTTCTCTCATCAACACACATGTTCAGACATCAAACCATCTGCTATTATTATTTCTTTTTTTCTCATCTAAGAAACTTTTGAAACGTGTTGTTTCGATCATCGTGTCTTTGACTTGTAATCCATGTTTTCCGCCAAAAGAACAAAACAAAAATAATCATTAACTATATTATTTAAAAATATTCGAATGAAGTCCACCTCGAATTTACAAAAAGTAGTTAAGAATCGAATGCGGAACACATGAATGCCAAGTCGAAATTCGCGGTTGAAATCGAAATTGGAAATAAATACCGTCGCGTTTGCGGTTTGTTGGCTCGCACAAGGCAATTCAAGACTTTGCTGCAAGGACGTATTCTAAGTAGGCGCTGCTGCTGCTGCGCCGAAGGAATAAACTGGACGAGAATAATAATGATATGGAAAAGGAACAAAGAACGAGAGAGAATTAAATTGGTTCTTTGGTGGTGGCGAAGGAGAAGGTGGAGTGTCGATGAGAGGAGAACGGGTTTTCAGGTCGTCGGGCAATAATCCTGAATGGAAACTGAGACACGCTGAACGTGTGGATCACCGCCCGCCACGGTTTTCAAGCTTCCAACGGATCGTCTATGATTCTTGCAAAAATGTGTTTTCAACGCGCGTAGATGGATATAAATAAAATGCATTCGTCGTTTCCTTCTATTTTTACTTAGCCACATTTTCGCGCTGCGGAAGTGTCGTAAAATGGTTTACATTTCCGAATACGTTTGATAACGTAAACCGTAATCGCTTCACAAAAACCAAAATCCTTCGTTAAATATCTTGAGTCTATTAGTTCTTTTAAATTGATTAGCTCATTTCGTTCTAAATGAATCACCTGTCTTTAACCATTTACCACTTAAAAGCTAATGACTCATTGCTATAATAGTTACACTCTTTAAAAGCATTTCCCATAAAATAACACAATCGCATCAATTGTATCACAAATTAATTACTTAATTATATTAAGTTGATCAGAAGTATCTGTTTTTTTTTCTCTTGAAGTTGTACTGTATTGAAATTTTCAATTTCATTTATATTTAGATTAATTAGCTGCATATATTTGTATAATTGTTTTATGTGTTTCTAGTGAAATGTGAAAAAGACTCATTCAAATGTAATGAAGGAAAGTGCATCCCGTTGCATTGGGTGTGCGATTCGCAATGGGATTGCGACGATGGCAAAGATGAGATGCAGTGTCAGAACATCACTTCTTGCAGTCCAGGACAATTTCAATGCACGTACACGCACAAGTGTTTGTCGCAAGGGTTCGTCTGTGACGAAGAATTGGATTGCGGAGTATCGCCTACCTATGGCCAGGATAGTTCCGATGAAGATCCGAAGATGTGCGTGCACAGGACGTGCTCTTGGAACGAAGGCCGCTGCAACAAGAACAACGAATGCCGTCCATTAGAAGTGTTCTGCGATGGCAAAGGAGATTGTCCTGATAACAGCGACGAATGGGACCAGTGTCGTAACACGACACAATGCGACGTCGCCAATTTCCCATGCGAATATAAATGCAAGGTAACCCTTGATGGTCCAAAGTGTTATTGCACCAAAGGCTACAGACCAGAGGGAAGTAAATGCGTGGATGCGGATGAATGCGAATTGGAGAAATCCTGCGATCAACTCTGCACGAATACTCTGGGATCCTTCAAATGCGATTGCGTCCCAGGATACCAGAAGACTGATAACGAATGCATCGCAGTTAATGGTAAGAATTCAAAGAAATAACTTATTTCTAATTGTTTTCAACATATTTTGTAACTGTATTTCCAGTTCCGGTTTCCGAACCTCCGTCTCTCCTAATTTCGACTCTTTCAATGATAAAAAGGGTCACGTTGGACGGACGTCCGTTCCCTGGAAACTCTACGATAAATCTCCTGAACAGCAACGCCCTGGAGTTCTCCCACAGGAATCGTTCCGTCTGCTACGTGCACCATAACGTGAGCAAATCCTTTTTGGTCTGCTCGAATATCGATGACCTGAATCAGAGATGGACGTTGGATGCGCCCTCCATCTTCCCGGAAGTTGATCTCATACATCAGATGGCCCTTGATTGGGTGACGAATAACTGGTACTTTCTGGACGACACTCGCGACATGTTCTTTCTGTGCACGAACGACTTGAAAAAATGCAACATCCTGATGGACAGCGATCTGATGAAACCCAGATCTTTGGCTCTCGATCCTCTACGCGGTTACATGTTCTTCACGAAATGGGGACACTCACCTGCGATGCTGGAAAGGAGCAAAATGGATGGTACGGAACGGAAGCCGCTCGTAACACAAAAGATTGTTTATCCGTACGGAGTTTCCTGCGATTTCGCCACCAGTCATATATACTGGGTAGATACGTACCTGGATCACGTCGAGAAAATCGATTACGATGGTAAAAATAGAAGAACAATCGAGAAGGGATCTCCTGTGATAAATCTTTACGACATCGTTTATTTCGAGAACAAACTATTTACGTCTTCTTGGTACAACCATACAGTTTGGCGTTACGACAAGAAAAACTCTTCGTTCAACAAAATTGTCAGCAACATCTCACGTCCATTCAATTTACATATTTTCCATCGACAGAGGCAACCAGAAGGTAATATATTCCATCGGCTCTTGGATCATAATTAATTATTTGTTGTTTCAGTTGCGCATTCGTGTAAAACCAACAATGGTGGATGTCAACATATTTGCGTGCCGAATTGGAATCGCAATGTCGCGACTCCGACGTGCATTTGCGCTGCAGGCTACAAACTAATTGATAAGGGACAGTGCGTTGTGCAGACTCCTCCATCTTTTGTCGTGGTGGCAAGAAGAAAACCTGCTATTATTAAGGGTCTTGATTTGATGGACGGTTCAGAAACGATGATTCCCATAACGAGATTGACAAAACCGACAGCGATCGAAGTGGACGTGAATACAAGGTCTATATTCTATGCGGACGGTACGGGGATAGAAAAAGCTATGATAGAAGGTGGTGAAAAGACGGTTATTGTGGATACGGGATTGGATAAGTGTAACGGATTAGCGTATGATTGGATGGCAAGAAATTTATATTGGACGGATGAAGGATATCATTCCATAAGTGTGGTCAGCATGAAGAATACGAAACTGAAGCGGACCTTAATCGTGGATAGATCTAAGAATCCAATGTCTATAGCCTTAGACCCGAAACGCGGCATTATGTATTGGACCGTTTGGCCACCAACAGATTCGGTAAGCGGTTCGATCGAAAGTGCTTGGATGAATGGAAGCAATAGAAAAGTCTTCATCAACATCGAAGTCAGTTGGCCCAGCGGTTTATCGATAGATGCAGAAAACAAAGTGGTCTATTGGTCCGATGGAACGTCGAACACTATCGAAAGTCTCGATTATAACGGGAAGAATCGAAAAACTATAACGTTCAGCGACAAGCACTACATCCACAGCGTAAACTTTTGGAATAAGTCATTCTTTTATTTTGAGTACTCAAGTGGTAAAATATTCAATTATGATTTAATGAATAAAACGTCAAATTTAATCTACAATTTCAAATCGTCCTTGTCGCAGATAAAGATATTTGGAGCTAAATCGCAAACAGGTATTTCTTCAAAATGATTTATTTTGGTGTTATTTACTGTATTGATTTTTAGGTACGAACGACTGCAAGAACAATAACTTTGGATGCGAGGAGCTTTGTCTGACCATTCCTAATACCGTGGTATGCGGTTGCTCGGATGGTTTCGAGTTGGCGCCTGGTGGGAAGAGCTGCACTAAATCGTTGAACTATACGATGCCTTCGTTATGCCCGGATCATTACTTCGAATGCAAATCAACTGCAAAATGCATCACCGAATTATACGTGTGCGACGGGACGGACGATTGCGGCGATGGGTCAGATGAAAGTATGGCAGAGGGCGGTCCGTGTCGGGACATCCTTTGCAACGAAGTCCAGTTCAGATGCGATAAATACCTATGCATTTCTAAGAGCTGGTTGTGCGATGGCGATAAAGATTGCAAAGACGGCACCGATGAGGATCCAAAGAATTGTCCGACAGCTTGCGCATCGGACGAAGTCATCTGCAACGTTACCAGAAGATGTATCCACAAGTCCTGGATATGCGACGGTGCTTTCGATTGCGGATCCGATGATAAAACCGACGAAGAGAACTGCGGTAATTTGAAAGTAATATTAAATGAAATGTAAATATTATATTTATTTATTTGCAGAAGTCCCCAAGTGCGATATAACCGAATTCACGTGCGCCAACAATCGATGCATATCATCGGATTTGTTTTGCAATGGAATCGACGATTGCATGGACGCTTCCGACGAGATAAATTGTAAATGCAATTTAACAATTTCAATTCCTTGCAACGATACGTGTCTGCCGCTGAGTAAAAAATGCGATAAAATCAAGGACTGCGCGGATGGATCTGATGAGATGCAATGCGACATTTATAAGCCGATCTGTGAGAAGAATGAATTTGCTTGCGAGACTCTGGAATGCATACCGAAGATTTTCTATTGCGATGGAAATGTGGACTGCGTCGATGGTTCGGACGAGAAGAACTGCGAACATCTGCATAATTCTACGACAGTTAAGCCTCCGATTGATGGGTTAATGTGCGCGCATCCTTCGCGTTACTGTGATAACAAGACCAAATGTATTGATGTTAAACAACTTTGCGATGATAGGATTGATTGTGTTGACGGATCCGATGAGGGTTTACGGTGTAGTGAAAAGTTGTGTGAGCACAGCATGGAGTGTTCGCATCATTGCCACAATGCTCCAGAAGGGATTGTTTGCTCGTGTCCTCAACCTTTGCATCTGCAGTCTGATAAAGTAAATTGCTTGCAGACGCATCCTTGCGATAGTTGGGGTGTTTGCTCACAAACTTGCGAGACTAGAGGTGGTCAATATAAATGTAGTTGTCTGCCAGGTTACGCATTGGAGAGCGATGGTTTCAGCTGCAAAAGTTTGGATAGTAGAGTACCCTACGTAATTTTCAGCAATCGGCACGAAATTAAGGGAGTCGACTTGCATACGTTCAACGTGAAATCGTTCCTTTCCAGTTTGAAGAATACTATAGCTCTGGATTTCTTCCATACGAATGATACTGATATGATCTTCTGGACTGATGTAATCGATGATAAAATTTATAGAGGCACTTTAGTTGGTAACTCTTTGAGCAATATAGAGCCAGTCGTTCAGAGCGGTTTAGCTACGGCTGAGGGATTGGCAGTGGATTGGATCGGAGAAAATTTGTACTGGGTGGAAAGCAATTTGGATCAGATCGAAGTGGCCCGTCTGAATGGTAGCTTCCGCAGAACGTTGGTCGCAGGAGACATGGAGAGTCCAAGAGCTGTGGCTTTGGATCCGAGGGATGGATGGCTCTTCTGGACGGATTGGGCCAAATCCGCACCGAGAATCGAACGTTGCTCTTTAGCAGGTCTGAACCGATCGGTGGTGGTTCGCGTGGATTTGGTTGCACGCGGATTGTGGCCCAACGGATTGACCTTGGATTACATCCCAAGAAGAATCTACTGGATTGACGCTTTGTCGGATTCCATTCATACCGTCGATTACGATGGACACGATCATCGGGTGGTGATGTCGCATCACGACATGTTGTCGCATCCTTTCGCCATCAACATTTTTGAGAATAACGTGTATTGGACCGATTGGAGGACGAACAGCGTGGTCAGGGCTAACAAATGGAATGGCAGCAACGTTTTCCTGTTGCAGAAAACCTTAACGCAACCCTTTGATATTCAAATTCTGCATCCGAGTCGTCAGCCGAGAGGAACGGGAAATCCTTGCGGCACCAACAACGGCGGATGCTCTCATCTCTGTCTGCTCCACATCGAAGGGGAATACAGATGCGATTGTCCTCACGTCATGCGACTGAATTCCGATAATAGAACATGCGTCGGTAAGTTGAAATATAAACATTTACATTCGAAGCAAATTGTATTTTATGTTCAATGAAATGTGAACCGATGAACTTCTTATCAGTATAGAATGCATGCATACTCACATCTCAAAACTTTAATTAATTTTTATTATACAATTTATTTTTATGCTCTTTGACAAGTTAACTCAATCAACCACTATTGCCAAGAATGTGTTTTTTGAATAATAAAGTTTAGATTATTTGAAAATTACTTTTAAATTGTATAGTTATAATTTGTTTCAGTGAATGAAAGAGTTTTGCTGATTGCAAGGACGAACGAGATTAGGGGAGTCGATTTGGAGCAACCGGATTACCATACAATTCCAACCATTAGCATACCGCAAGTGTTAAGCCCCAATCAAATAGAATATCTCGCCTCGAACAATACTCTCTATTGGATAGATTCTCAAACCAACGAGATTAAACGATCAGGTTTAACAATAGGCCCATCGCAGACTCTCATCGACACAGGCATCGAACATCCATCCGGTTTGGCCGTCGATTGGCTTGCAGGATTACTGTTCGTCGGCTCACCATCCGGTATATTAGTGTGCAACTTGGATGGGGAATTGAGCTCGGTTTTGATCGATCAGGTTAGCATAGTTAGCTTAGCTGCTGATCCTAAAAACGGAAGGCTTTTCTGGATATCACTTTTCGAAAATTACTCCGAAATTGAAACGAGCGCAATGGATGGCAGCAAACGCGAAGTGCTTATTTACAATATGACTATGGCCACGAAGAGTTTGAGTTATGATCATGAATTGGACAGGCTGTATTATGTTAGTGACTTCGAGATATTTTTCCTAAATTTGACTTCTCGTGAATCCGTTAAATTGGTTTTAAATAAGAGCAGTATTGCTGCGGCTACAGTTTACAAGAATCTCATCTATTATGCTGATGATGATGATCAGTCGGTGAGGTCCGCTCATAAAACGACCGGAGCCAATGACACTTTCTTGAGGAACAGCACCGGGGTGTTGGCTTTGAGAATTTACGATCCGTCCGAACAAGTTGGAGAACATCCTTGCGGGAAGAACAAGGGAGGTTGTCAACATCTCTGCTTGCCGATGTCGGCCAACGGATATACATGTAAATGTGCTACAGGATTTTATATCGACGTCAGGGAACGTAGGGGTTGTTTGGGATACGAAGACTTCCTGTTTTATTCCCTAAATTGGGAGATTCGAGGATTACCTCTGAACGGTAGCAACACCTCCGAAGTACTTGGTCCCATCTCGAGAGTATCCATGGCAAGTGTGATAGATTTTTTGGCGAGTGAAAATAAGATCGTTTGGGGAGACAGCGATCACGGAGTGCTCACCAGCATTAACAGAGATGGAACACTGCGTAAAACTATTGTCGAACAATCGGAAGGAATTGAATCTGTTGGAGTGGATTGTTTGACTGGAATGGCGATAGATTGGTCTGCCAAAAATATATATTGGAGCGATCCCAAACACGGGGTGATTGAAGTCGCCAGAATGAATGGTTCTTCGAGGTACGTCGTGCTTTCTGATGACGTGGGAAGGCTTAATTTCATAGCCGTTGATCCGTTATCCGGAATCATGGTATGGGCCGGAGGAAACAAACTTGAGAAGGCCACTTTGGACGGTTCGAATCGAATGGTGCTCATCAACGGCACCAACAGCGATATAAAAGACGTTGCTTTGGATTTGGAGAGGAAATTCATTTACTTCTGCGACTCTGCCAGTAAAACAATCGAGCGGATCAGCTACAACGGCACCGATCACGAAGTGCTCTTAAACGATTCGCTTGAATACCCGGTGGCTTTGACGCTTTTGGACGATACATTGTACTGGGTGGATTCGACGCACGATAGGGGAAGCATCAAATCTGCTAATATAAACAATTTGGAAAGTTACAAAGTGTTGCTGAGACAAGCCGGAGATTCTTTGAAAGATATACAGATATTTTCGAACCGGCGACAGATGGGTAAGAATGCTTGCGCGAAGAATAATGGAGATTGCGAGCAGCTATGTCTTTTCAATGGAACGCATCCGAATTGTGCTTGTTCCAATGGTAATTTGGCTCCTGATGGAAAGTCTTGCCAGGAGTACGATAGTTTCGTGATGTTTTCGAAGGTCAGCAGCATTGATTCTATACACATGACGGATGCTGGAGAATTGAACGCTCCGTTCCCGAGTATCAAAAATTCGTGCTTCATGCGTAATGCCATCGGTTTAACGTTCAATTACAAACAGCAGAGGATATTCTATTCCGATATTCAGCACGGATTGATAAATACTGTTTATTTCAATGGGAGCGGTCATGCTGTTATTGTTGAAAGACAAGGTTCTGTGGAAGGTTTAGCTTACGAGCAAATTAATAACGCTCTTTATTGGACTTGTAATAATAATCCTAGCATTAGCAAAGTGAATTTAACGGTGGATGGTTTGAATGCGACTCAAGTTGAAGTTGTGATTAAGTTTAGTACTCGTGATAAACCTAGGGGTATTGCTGTGGACAGCTGCGGAGGACGTTTGTATTGGACCAATTGGAATTCCGCTGAGCCGAGCATAGAACGCGCCTTACTCAGCGGTTTCTATAAGGAATTTATAATAACGACGGATATTCGAATGCCCAATGGATTGACTTTAGATCATAAAGCTCAGAAGCTGTATTGGAGTGACGCTCGTTTGGATAAGATCGAAAGATGCGAATACGACGGAACTAATAGGGTTGTTCTTGCCAAAGTTATGCCTCAACATCCATTCGCGTTAGCAGTTTATGGTAATCTAATTTATTGGACCGATTGGATGTTGCGCGCCGTTTTAAGAGCCGACAAATTGACGGGACAGGATGTTACTTGGTTGAGGAGAGACGTTAAAAGACCGATGGGAATAATTGCGGTCGCCAATGATACAGATGATTGCTTTTCGAATTCTTGCAGCATTGCTAATGGAGGCTGCGAAGAGTTCTGCAGTCTTTCGGCTTCCGGTCAAGCAGTGTGCAGTTGCGACGATGGAAAGACTATATCCGAGGATGGAAAAACTTGCGTTATTGCCACGAGTTGCAGAGATGATTCCTTTCGTTGCTCCGATGGGGGTTGCATTCCATTTGTGTTAACTTGCGATGGTACCGCGCATTGCGCCGATAGCTCCGACGAAGATGCAGGCTATTGTAGCAACAGGAATTGCCCTCACATGTTCCAATGCTTGAACAAACGCTGCATACCCTTCAACTTGACTTGCAATAATATCGACGATTGCGGTGATTCCAGCGACGAAATGAACTGCACTTGCAATGAAGAAACGCATTTCAGATGCGGAAACGGTCAGTGCATATTGAATAGATTCAAATGCGATTTGGACCCCGATTGTCAAGACGATGCTAGCGATGAGATTGGGTGTAAGCCAGTGGATTGTTTAACGTTAATCAATTGCAAATATACTACAGCTTGTATTAGACCGGAGTGGATCTGCGATGGCGAGAACGACTGTTGGGACAACTCGGATGAACAGAATTGCACGAACAGGGTGTGCACCGATTTGGAATTCCGTTGTTCAAACGGAAAGTGCATAAGTTTATCGAAGAAATGCGACGGACACGCCGATTGCAAGGATTCCTATCTGGCTGCATTAAGTTCGGACGAATTGAACTGCAAAAGTTGTAAAGGGAATCAGTTTAGTTGCGGGAACGGTCTTTGCATTCCCGGTAGTTTTAGATGCAACGGACAGCCGGATTGCGAGGATGGATCCGATGAGAGAGGTTGCCAAGAGCAATGTATGGACGACCAATTTAAGTGCAAGGATAACGTATGCATTCCTCTCGATTGGCAGTGCGACGGTCATCCGGATTGCGCTGATTACTCGGATGAAACTGAGCATTGTTTGAAGAGGGAATGCGATTCTTCGGAGTTCCGTTGCAACTCGACCGGTCGTTGCATACCGATGAATTGGATCTGCGATGGAAAGGAGGATTGCACTGATGGTGCTGATGAACACTTGAATCAGGGATGCAGACCTTCTACATGCGATAATAACCAGTACCAATGCGCAGATCGATCGTGCATTTCAAAAATGTATTACTGCGATGGAGATTTTGATTGCAGCGATAAAAGTGATGAGCCTTCATCGTGCGAGCATGAGTGTTACTCTGGAGAATTTATGTGCACCTCATTGAAATGCATCTTGGAAATCTTCAGATGCGATGGAACAGACAATTGTGGAGACAATAGCGACGAGGAGAATTGTCCAAACGCAACGCCTGTATTGGATAAGGATTGCTTCCATTGCAATAATGGAATTTGCATTAACGAGACTCTTTTATGTAATGGTCAGGATGATTGTGGAGATTACAGCGATGAAAGTAAATGTCACATAAACGAATGTGAGACGGCGGTCAGTCCTTGCTCTCAGAAATGCATAGAAAAACCAGTTGGATACGAATGCGCTTGTGTCGATGGTTACAAAGTCAGCGTAAAAGACAAGTCGCTGTGCGACGATGTTAATGAGTGCTTGGAGAAGCCTTGCAGTCAGGTTTGCAGAAACACCTTAGGATCATACATTTGCAGCTGCGTTCAAAATTACACCCTTCTATCGGACAGATCTTCCTGCCACGCCGATAGTGATGTGACTCCAAAGTTGTTGCTTGCCAATAAGTATTACATACGAGAATTGAATTTGAACGGTCATTCAACATTACTGAGGCATAATTTATCAAATGCTGTAGCTGTTGATTACGACTGGGAATCAAAGTGCATCTTCTGGTCAGATGTTTCTCCCATCAGCAGTCACATCAAGAAATTGTGCAACGGTACCGTCCAAAACAACACCGTTCTCCTTCATTCTGCCACACTGCAGAATCCTGATGGTCTGGCTGTTGATTGGGTCGGAAAGAATCTATACTGGGCGGACAAGGGCTTAGATACGATCGAAGTTTCCACGCTCGACGGGAAATTTAGAAAAGTGTTGATATCTTCCGGTCTTCAAGAACCCAGAGCCGTGGCGGTCGATCCCATCAGGGGATACATGTATTGGTCGGATTGGGGCTCTGATGTTCACATCGGCAAAGCAGGAATGGACGGCTCCAATCCATCCATTCTGCTCGACGCTAATTCGAGCTTGGGATGGCCAAACGCTTTAACAATCGCTTTCGACACTGAAGAACTCTTCTGGGCGGATGCACGTGAAGATTACATCGCCGTATCCGATTTCGATGGGAAAAACATTCGCATCATTGCTAAGAGAATAAAAAATGCTGAACTGCAATTGCATCACGTCTTCGCAATCGCAGTTTGGGAAAATTACGTGTACTGGACCGACTGGGAGACTAAGTCCATCGAGAGATGTCACAAGTACCATGGAAATGATTGCAAAACTGTGTTAACAACTATTCACAGACCGATGGATTTGAGGGTCGTTCATCCTTTAAGGCAACCTCAGACTGATAATCCTTGCCTGAACGCAAACTGTTCAGCTCTGTGCTTATTAGCACCGAATAAGGAACGTTATACCTGCGCTTGTCCGGAAAATTATATCTTGGATGTGGACGGAAAGAGTTGCATTTCGAATTGCACATCGGCACACTTCGAATGTAAGACAACATACAAGTGCATACCGTTTTGGTGGAAATGCGATACGCAGGACGACTGCGGCGACGGCAGCGATGAACCGGAAGATTGTCCCGTCTTCAAATGCTCACCAGGAGAGTACCAATGCGACAACGGTGAATGCATTCATCCATCGAATCTGTGCGATGGTAAAAACAACTGCAAGGATAACAGCGACGAGAAGAATTGCAAAAATTATACGTGCCTCGATAAGCAATTTAGATGTAAAGGTAATTTATATTTATTTTTTATAATTTTTATTTATTATTAATATAATTGTATTTAATTTAGGAAATTCGACCGTGTCTCCTCGCTGCATACCTGGAGATCAAAGATGCGACAAAATAAAACATTGTCCACTGGGAGAGGACGAGGAAGGTTGTCCACCATCGAAATGTCCTCCGCGTAACTTCAAGTGCGACAACGACATGTGTATCACCGAGGTTTGGGTCTGTGACTTGGACAACGATTGCGGCGATAATTCAGATGAACCTGAGACTTGTAAAAACCGTACATGCTCTCCGGACAACTTCAGATGTAATTCCGGACGGTGCATCCCGATGTCCTGGAAATGCGACGGCGATTCAGATTGCTCGGAGAACGAGGACGAACCTCCATCATGTAAATTAGCAGATTTCCACACCTGTGAACCGACCTACTTTAAGTGCAACACGAATCGATGTATTCCGGGTAGATGGAGATGCGATTACGTTTCTGATTGCGTCGATGGTTCGGATGAAATCGGATGTAAGCCGAGGAATTGCTCTGAAAGCGAGTTCCGGTGCGGAGATGGTAAATGTATTAGGGGAAATCAAATTTGCGACGGGGAATTCCAATGTGAGGACAAAAGCGATGAAGAGGATTGCTTCACGAAATGCGGAAGTCTAGAATTCCAATGCCAAAATCCACATTATTGCATATCAAAGTAAGTAATTTAAAAAATAAATAATAATTATCTAGTCAGTTAAATTTATGAAATAACATAATTATAATTTGTATTTTTTAGCTATTGGAAGTGCGATGGTGACATGGATTGTGTAGACGGTTCCGATGAAGTAAACTGTAGCGATCGATGCCCCGATAACGGTTTCAAGTGTGAAAGTGGACTGTGCATCAACGAAGAATGGAGGTGCGATGGACAAATGGACTGCGAAGATGGTTCTGATGAGAAAATTGAGATGTGCGAGAGCTTGGCTTGTCCTCCCGGTCGTTTGAGATGCAGGAACAACAAATGCATCCCGATGTCTTTGCTATGTGACGGAATCGATCAATGCGGCGATTCCAGCGACGAAGAATCCCTCACCTGCAAAGTCCTAGGCGTTTGTCCTCTTCATCAATTCCGATGCAGCAACTTTAAGTGCATCGACGAGAAACTTCGCTGCGATGGAGAAAACGATTGCGGCGATGGCTCAGACGAGGTGGACTGCAACAATTCAATCTGCCATTACGGGCTTTGCTCTCAGCAATGCTTCGAGAGGAAGAACGGTAGCCACATATGCAAATGCATATCAGGTTTTCAACCGTCCAGAGATGGAGGTTGTCAAGCTACCGGACACGCTGCTAATTTGGTCGTCGTTGTGGAAGCCGAATTGAGATTGATTTCTCCTTACGTTTCCGGATCGACAAGTCAATTCAACAAACAGAAGGTTGGGTCAGGTCCGAATTACAAACTTGATGCCGTTGATATACTATATCAGTCCAAGCAGATAACAGCTTTCTGGACGGATCATCACAATAAGCAGGTGCAGAGTACGCAACTGATGATTCTGGATGGTTCAAGCAGGTCGACGCGCGATAGCGACATCAAGATCATTCTGAAGAGTCTTAAAGATCCTCGAGGTCTTGCGGTAGATTGGGTTGCGAAGAGATTATACATCACAGATTCTAGCAGGATTTTGGTTTGTTCTCTGGATGGATCGCGCGTTTACACGTTGGTTTCTGGTGAAATACAGCAACCGCGCGATATCGTAGTGGCTCCTCATCAAGGACTGTTGTTCTGGACAGATTGGGGTTTAATACCTAGGATAGAATCGTCACACATGGATGGTAACTTCAGGAAAACTCTTCGCCTAACAGATTTGCTCTGGCCAAGCGGATTAGCCATAGACCATCCAGCAGAACGTATCTACTGGTCCGATCCTAAAGCATCAGTAATCGAATCGGCCAAGTTCGATGGAAGCGATCGACAAATTGCCAAACGCTTAGCTTTAAGTAAGTTTGCGTTATTATTATTCAATTATTATAATTCTTAATAATTTAACAATTTGCAGGTGAAAGACCGTACAAACTGGACGTTTTTGAAGATTTCGTTTATTTCACCACGCATCAATCTCACAATGTTTTGCGTATGAACAAATTCGGACGTGGCAACTCTTCGCATTTGGCTCAAGAACTACCTAGACTTGCCGATATTTTGATCATTCAAGAGCAGAAGCAGAAGTATTTAACGAATCCGTGTCAGAATGCTTGCGGCTCAACACAGTTTTGCTTGCTGCAACCGGAAGGAACAACGTGCGTTTGTCCGGATGGTTACCTTCTTCAAGACAACAATGTTAGTATTCCATTTTCACATATGGTTAGTAGTTATATTAATATCTTATTATTTTTATAGAGTTGCGTCGTTATCAACTCCAATGCTCCCAATTGCACTTTGAACTGCAATTTAGGCACTTGCCAATTATCCGCGACTGGACCGAAATGCATTTGTCCCGCACAATACAGTGGACCTCATTGTGAACACTATCGTTGCTCACAGTTCTGTCGCAACAAAGGTATGTGCTACTCGGATCTTCTGTCGGCTAAAGGACCGGATGGAGTCGCTCCGTTTAAGTGTATTTGTCCACCTCAGTGGACGGGAGAACTATGCGAAACTGCGGTGGATCTCTGCACGGATCGCTGCTACAATAATGGTACATGCTACAGTGCGAGATTGGGAATCGCTTCCTGCGATTGTAAACCGGGATTCTCCGGGTTCAGATGCCAGCATTGCTGGAATCACACCTGCTCGAACGGTGGCGTCTGCTCGCGACAGGACGGTAAGGAATACTGCGTATGCCCTGCCGGTTACCGCGGTCCGAATTGCGAAGTGTCCGACTGCAAGGACCACGATTGCGGCGATCACGGAACGTGTGTTATAAGACCAAGGGTAGGTCCTGCGTGCCAATGCGAACCGGGATATTCTGGGAATAAATGCCAGCAGTACGCGTGCACCGGTCTCGTTTGCAAGAACGGTGGAACCTGTAAGATCAGCAATAAACAACCAGAGTGCGTGTGCCCACCTCTCTTCGGAGGTCGCAAATGCGAGACTAATCTCTGCAAAGGATCTTCGCCTCCGGCAGGGTGCGCTTCGGAGGAAGGCTGCAACTGCAGAAACGGCGGAGAATGCGTTACCGTAGGCGGAATGAATATATGCAAGTGTCCTGATACTTGGGGCGGAGAAACCTGCGATAATTACATTGGAAACAATAACGTTTGCAAGGATCGCTGCAAGAACGACGGAATTTGTCAGACAGGTGGTGTTTATATGACTCCTATCTGTCACTGCACGAACGAGTGGACGGGAGAGTTATGCGATTATCCCATCAAGTGCAGATTCTTCTGCAAGAATGGTGGCATCTGCAACATCGTTGAGGACGCTCCGAAATGCACATGTCCTCCGAACTTCAGCGGTTCCCAGTGCGACAATCGCGAAGAAACGGCAATGAAGAAAACCGGCGACACGCACGTTTGGAAGATCTTCACGTACACCCTCACCCCTATCTTCGTTTTAATTCTTCTCGCTGTTCTCGTGCACTACATCATTCGCAGACAGCGAAGACCATTTGCTCACGAAATCCTTCAAGAGAGCGATTTCAATAACCCAATGTATCAAGAGAGAGACGCGGAACCCTTCTCTTTAGACGCTGACAAGGTAATAGGATCAAGAAATTGTCTCAAACAACAGTAAATATAAATAACTTGTAATCTTTCGTAGCCCAACAATTTCCTGAACCCCGTTTACGAAACGGTCTACAACGGAACGAGCAGCGCTAAAGACGAAAAGACCGGCTTGCTGCAGCAATCCACCGAAGACATCCCTCCGACAATCCAAGAGCAATAGAATGGTTTACATATCAGTTTTATCATATTTTAACTTTCTTTATTTTTTTAAATCAAGAGAATGTTTGCTGTGAAATGTGCCATTTGTTTCTTTATGTTTTTTTTACGTCGTAATTTAGATATAATGTAAGAGTAGGTTTTTCCATGTTTCTCTCTATCTTTTACCTCTACTTTTCTTCTTACAATCTTTGACGAATTCTTGCCACCCGGAAGAAAAGAAGAAAAGAAAATGAGCGCCCTCCCTCCCTCGAATAAAAAAAAATACAAACATTTGATATGCGTCCAAGAATGAAAACAAATCGAGTGACTGATTTTTTAAAAAAAATGATATTAATATGAAATAAAATACTAATAAATATATTTTTATGTAAATACTTTTTTCGTCTTGTATGTGCCAATAATATGATAGACACATATTTATAAATAAATATATATATATATATATATATACAAAGAGGATTCATCTCGGATGAATATACTAACGAGAAAGGAAGAAAAAATAGTTGTGATTTGTGGTTGTAAATTTGTACGTTTTTTGCTCAAATTTGATTATATTTACACATAAGACTTTTTTATATATACATACGATTATTAATTATTGTATTAATATCACTTTACGTGTTTTATTTTTAAACGATGAATAAATTAATTGACGTATTGTGTTAACTGAGAACTAATAAATCAAATAAATCCACCTTCTTCGTTGCACCATCATTAATACCATACATTTGTTATTTAAAACTTAAATCTAGGTAATTCATTTCCATATAATTTACATTAAGTAACAGTTTAAAATTACCATTTAAATACATATGTACACAATTTACATTCATTTCCTTTATATGTGCGTCATATTATTTTCGTCTAATTCGAGGCCGCTGTTCTCGTATCCTTTTCCGACGTTTTCGGACATTTGCATTTGATTAGACTTTTCCTCGTCCTTCGGGGCTGCGCTTTCCTTTCTATTCATTATATACATAAAGCTGAAATTTCACTTTCGTTAGTTTCTTCAACTTTTACTTATTACGATCACCTTACATTATAATTACCAGACACACTAAGTACATGCAGAATCCCATTAAGAAAAAGGACGCTGGGAAATACTCTAGCGTGTATTGGTAGGACTTCGTGAAGATCGGTAAGATGATGACAGCACCTAAGGTTTCGCACAACGTGAAGAGCGATTGGGCTTTACCTAAATCATCGTCGGTGACGACTTTTGTTGCTAAGGATCTCATTCCTACGACGTACAAGCTTATGAAGAAGCTCACGGCTGTGCCTGGAATCGAGAGGTTTCTTTGAAAAATGCCCACAGCTTTTATTTGTTCGATTTACCGATGTAAATTGCGGTCATCGTCTTCACCAAAGCGTATATCACCACAGTGATCATCTTATCGACTATGCTAAAGATTATGATGCCGTAGTCGGTGAATTTCAATAGTTTCGTAAATAAAGGAACTCCAACAATAACACCTAAAATAAAACGGAATTGGATCATTTTTATCAACAAATTTATGTAATTAAGTTAGATTTGTATAAAATCTTTAATTATTATTGAAACTAAGTGTTTAAGAAATAACTAAAATATATTTTTATTTGACTATTGAACATAAATAATATAAAAAAAGTGTTTGATGCAAGAACAGCCTTTAAAATTCTGTTTTTAATTGGGAGAAAGTGAGTTTGTCGACTTCCACTCTATTAATACGCATTCTTTGTGATTAAGATTAATGTCAACTCTTTAAATTTAGAAGAAGAAAAAAATAAAGAAGCGAAATGATCCACTTTTTCGCTCACGTATATTAATCATTACATGTTAAAAATAATGCTGATAAAAAAAAATCAGTTATCTAAATTTATCAAAGACTATTTCTTTGACCTCGTGAGATTACCAATTTCAATGATAATTAGATTATTTATATAATTCTTAGAAGTAAAGAATTATTGCATTGTTATTTATTAGTTACTAAGAATTTGATGAGTTGTTATTGAATTTGTTTTATTTATTATTGAAATTTTATTTGCTTTAAGAATAAGCAATATTATTATGAGAAATTATTGTATTTGTGAATACTTTTACTTTTTTTTGCAACCTTGACATCTAAATGTTAAGAAATTTTCTAAAATATTTAATGTGATTGGAATTTTTGTCTGTTTGATTTAAGTGTTTGTGATTTAATTGTATTAATATAATTGTTACCTGCTAAATGTACGCAAAAATTAACGGTAAGGAAGTATCCGAAACCAACAGAGGTCAAGCTGAAGGTTTCGAGGAAGTACAGATTAGCTAAAGACCCTTCGCCGCTTAAATATCCGCTGATCAAAAACGAGACGGTCATCAGCAAAATGATGTTGGTTCTGTTAAAGTTCGGACTCTTCTTCACGAGTAAATTTAACGTTTGCAGAACGTGCGTGGGATTGAACATATCGACGAGGCAGTCCTTCTTGAATTCAAGTTTGGATTCCCTCTTTTCTTTGATGAAAAATATTCCGTAGAGAACGGCACAGGCGTACAGAATCAGGGCCAAAGTGAAGACCCCGTAGTATCCTACAAATTCGTAGAGAATTCCGCTGAGAGATTGGGCCAAGGGCACGCTCACGCTCAAAACAATTTGAACAATACCGATCCTCACGGTACGCATTTCCATCGTGCTTATATCAGCTATGTACGTGTAAAGAGCCATGATCAGGATCGGTTGACCACCGAAGAATGAAGGGATTACAGTCTGGCAAATACCGTTCACCCAAAGCGGTAGTTCCCGCATGAAGAAGACGCTTATTAGGAGACTGATGCAAGCGAAGACTTCTCCGATAATCGGGATGATCATCAAGGGTTTCCGCACCTTGTGACGATCGCTGTAGGATCCCAAGAAGATCACTAAGATGATAGGCACGGCGCTCTGAAACGGAGTATTCCAGGTCTTCATATCCGTGATCACCACTTGAACCTTCTTGTATTCCGTCGTGTAGTTTTTGACCATTCCTTCGAGGATCGCATCGCAAACTTCGTCCGTGAAATTTCCATCGGCCTTGCACCCTTTCTCAATCTCCAGACTATAAATAGACGTAATGCAGATCGCCGTCGCGATTATGTATAAAGCGAGCATCGGCTCCACCGTGATCACCTCCCTCAGATGTTTAAACTTCTCCCCGGCGCTCATCTTCCAGAAAGTCCGCTTCTTAACTTCTTCCGCCTCATCCTGCTTGCTCTCCGGCAATTCCATCTCATTCACTTTCCGCGCACAAACTGCAAGAAATCACCGTCGCATCGTATATATATAATTAGATGCCTTTAAACCTGTTCTCTCTCATCTCAACTCATCGCATCCCTCACCTTCCTTCAAAATAATAAAATACGAGCGCCGTTCCGGGCCCAAACCCGAATTCAACGTTCGGAACATCCATCGAGCACGCAACCTTTGGCATTTCGATTAACATTCCACACAGATTTTTTGGGCAATCGCACTCGCTTTGAGGCCGAATCATCTTCTTGCTGCACTAATGTGTATACATCGCATTTGTTTGTTTGTTTTCGTTTGTTCATTGTTACCTTGAAAATATGGAATTAGCATAATTACAAACGAATTAGTGATCAAATTGTGTAAGAATTTTATTGATGATAATGTGGAATTTATACACATCATTTCCTCTACTTATTAACATTATCGCACGTAAAAGAAAACAGGATTTAAAACTTCCAACAGCATTGAGAAAAATCTTGCGCTCATACCAAACACGCAAGAGATTGTTTTCGTTAAGAATCATTTTTAGATTCAAAACCTATTGCTTATCGAAATTTCTATAGAACAAATCATAAACATATTTCGAATTAAAAAGTTTCCAATTATTTTACGTAAGGTATACATTTTAAATTTATTAGTCTACAAAAAAAACTACTTTCATTTACAATTTTTGTATAAATTAATAAAATATAATTGAAACAATTCATTCACATTTAAAAGAAATTATAAATATTATGAATGTAACTTTTCACAAAGTTATTTTTATATTCTATCAAGCGCTATAATTAAAAAATAACATAATAAAGAGTAACATTATTTATATCTTCTCAAATGCTTTAAATATTTGTAATTTTTAAATAATTAATTTATTGTTGCAATAAATCAAACTTAAAATTTAAATAAATAGAAATACGCTGTTTATTAAAATATTAATACAAATAAATAACTAATTTATTAATGAAAGTTATTCAAATTAAATAATTAAAACGAAATTAGAAAATATCTATATTTTGAGCTTCCTCTGCTTTGTGCTTCGTTGTCCTCTCTAAAACATACTTTTTATGTAGCTCTTCTAGCAAAACCGTCTTCTCCATTCTCTCCTGAGCGATCTGCTCTATTTTCTTGTAGAACACTGAATTAGTGGGAAAGCAGTTTCTGAAATTCCTTCGGTCCAGCCTGTAAATCTCGCAGATTTCAATTGCAACAACATTGGCAACGCGTTTCTGATCTTTGGATATTAAAGCGATTTCGCCAAAGTAAGCCCCATCTTGCAGATGGCAAATCTGGAAGGTAATACTTAACAATTATGTTAAATTAATGGAAATGTTTCATTAACTTCTTTTCCGGTTGGCGTTGATACTGCTACAGTTCCATTAGATATGAAGTACATGCAATCACCGATTGCACCTGCCTTTACAATTATGTCATTGTACAGAAAGACTTCGTGCCTTAAATGGTGAACGACCTCCGAGATGATTTCGGAAGGTAAGTCTTTTAATAGTGGAACACTGTCGATAAGCGTGCGACAAGAATGTAAATTGATGTCTCTCCGAAGAGTTTCTGCAAATTGGATTTGTGATTTGAGGATGGCAATGTTAGTAGTACTCACCGGAAAGCATAGCCATTATGGTGCTCTCCCTGAAATATTTCTTCTGGAAGCGGTAATCGTAATAAGAAAGGATTCGCTCCTTCATGTTGTTAGGCAAATCTTTGTGCGACATGTAGCAGTTCACCTGCGATAGAATCTCATTGTACTTGATCTCGGAGGAGTTCATGGAGATGATCATCTGAAGAACCAACACCAGAAGCAAGTTGCAGAAGATGTAACCGATTGGGGAGAAAATCAAGAAGCAGGTGAGCTCGCGGGGTTCCGTAATTTGGAAGTAAACTGTTCTGCGAAATCCAGTCACAATCGATACGCCTAAAAGTTCTTCAACTTATTTACCTACGCGAGATACGTTTTCGAAGTAGTTACCTAAGAGATACGAACTGACCTTATGCAGAGATTGGCAGTAAATGGATAGGTAATCGTAGAGAAGCGCGTTTCTCGTTGATAAACTGGGAATTGGGTACTCATTATCGTGATTGAAGTAGTAAAACCATTCGGATATAGAGATGTACATGCACGTAGACCAATGAAGCGCCAAAAGGGAAACTAAGAGATACTTGAGGCTTCGCCTAGAGTAGTAGTAATGTCTGATCAGTTCAGTGGTGTGACCCAAGTACTTTAAAAACTTCTTGATGCGAAGAAATTTGAACATGGTCACAATCTCGCAGATCCTTAGGACCTTCGATATCCGCAAACTCGGGTATATTTTACAAATTACACCAGTTATCAAGTATATCGGTATTGAGCACACCAAATCGCAGTAGAATCCGAATGAAGCCATGTAATGTCTAGATTATATAAATTATGTAATATACTTAAAATCCATTTAAATTTTTAAAAAATTATTCACCTATTGATGCTCGAAGGCGCAAGTATGACCTCTTTCTTATTCTGTATGCAGAAACCGGTGCAAAATTGAAGAATTAAGTCCAGAAGGTTAAGAAAATCTAGAAAAACTTCTGTTGTCGAGGTATATTCAAAATATCCAACGATATTCGTGTCAATGCTACTGGGCATAAAAAGAATATTCATCGGGACGATGAACAGATATATGTAAAAAATCACCAAGAAAATAGCTTCCCACCAAACTCTGCAAAACATTAAGAAGTCACTCACCTATCGACAACAACAAAAAGGAATACCTGAATAAACAGAACGGATGAATAATGTGCTTGTATTTAAGAGACATATGGCGTTTGATCTCTTTGTCGATGGAATCCAAGCTGCGAAAGTAGAACTTCGTCATCGGATTTCGCACCGAAATTAATTTGATGCTCCAGAAGTTCAACCTCCAGCGTTTCATGTTCTTCAGAGCTTGCGTCGTGTCATCATCCAAAGTGCACACGTGATTGCTGTAGAAATGCATCGCTTCTTCGGCAAATTCTGCTTGCAGATAAAACTTTAAGTCTCAATGTTTATTTGAATCTATGGTAACCAGTTAGATAAAACGTATTTAAAAAAAAAACAAATTGGTTAATTTTCAAATAAGCGTGACTTCATAGTAAACATGTTTCTTAGTTAATTATCCGGTATTTCCTGGGAAGGTTAAACAGAGTGCATACACGAATCAAGGAAACAGCAAAACGATTATTATTAACTAATGTACATGTGTTTATTTTCTATTTGTCTATAAACAGTTTAATGTTCTCCGGGGACCGGCGAAGTCTTTCCGTACTTCTTGTCCCACTCCCTGATGAATTCAATCTTGCGTTGTTCCCTCCTTGCGAAGTAATCTTTGTATTGGGCTTTCTCCAATGGATGCCAATAGTCGAGGACCCAATCTGGTGGGATGACTTCTCTTGCGTAGGCAACACCTCCGGGCGATTCCGGGACTAAAAATCATTAGAATGTAATAACAAACCTTCGTAATATTTTTTTTTTCCTATAAACAAGCAATATTTACATTTCCTTGGGTGCCAATGAGCCTTCTGGAAAAGTTCGTCTTCCGCTTTATTCATAAGATCTTTCACGATACGCATATCTTTGATTTCGCGATTATCATCGAACTTCTTCCTCATAAGCACAGCATGGTATCTGAAGACCTCTCTAAAAAAAAACAACAACAAAATTTCCAATAAAATTCAAAATTAAACTGTTCTAGCAAAGTCAAAAAATTCAAGTTTTGGCACTTGTCAAAAATTTCAAATTATATAAGATGGTAAATTTATTTGCAAATATCGAATTCAATATTAATGTCTCAATATATTTCCAGGTATCTGAATACATTTTTGAGTGCCTTTCGAAATTTGGTGAAGTAATAAATGATATTCTTGAATTTGATATACAGACACCTCAAGATTTGTATGTTTTCCTTAAATTTTGTGCACTCTTCTCATTTTTCATACTGGTGTGGAAGAACTTGAATTCAGAAGATATGTAAACAATTGGCACTCAATAAAAATGACCCTTTTCACTATTTCATTCTTGGTTATCATAGTTTTCCTGTATCTGCAACAAGCCAAAGTAATCTTCCATTCGCATAACAGGATAATTGCAGCTCCTTAGGCATTTCTTCCTATAAGAATAAATGGAAATAGGGATTTAGGTATGGGTAACATTCAAGGGTTTTCCTTTTGGAAGCTCTGTACGAGTGGATCTCTTCATTATTATACATAGTGGGTTATGTAACATAACCTCAAACTCACCTTCTGTCGTACCAGTTCTCCAGGTGACGCAGGGATCTCTTGTATAAGTTCTGCACCTTCCTGGTATGGGAGACTAGTCCCAAAACAGGTAATTGGGCCATTCTTAATTCAAATTTAGCGCACCCTTAGGATCTCTAAAAAAATACTGAATTTCTTCAACTGTCAACGAACGACAGCTGATGTCAGGATAATTAAATGTATCTCATTCAGATGGAGCTCAAAATAAAGATCTTAATATTTTCTAGAATATTGCAAGAAGCTATAATAACCAGAAATATTCTTTAATTGTATCATTAAATGTACCTAATACTCAAGTTTTATTAATAATTTTTAAAACTTATAATTCTAGATAGGCAACTTAATTTACACATCATAATGTTAATAATTAAAAACTTTACTATCCTTACGAAGAACAATCTAATATTGATATAAAATACGTATAATAAGAAATAAATTGTTAGTATTCATCTGGTAGTAGAAATAATATAAAAAGTAACATATTAGATAAAATTTATAATCCAATTGGAAAATTATCAATATAATAATTATTCGGATCAATAAATGGAACTTTTATATGATATAAACATACTTATTTATATAATTTGTCTTTACCTTAATGCTTTATTTCCAAAGTTTATGTTAAAATATTTCAAAAACTTAATATTTGTACTATAATTATTTTCTACATTTATTTATTTACAAACTAAACTTTCCTCGTTTTCCCCAGAATAAGTAAATGAGTTCAAACGGGATTTTAGAAAATTGAATATCAGGAGCTTATGAATAGAAGAGGTCGCTTTTACAGCTAGTTCTAACCCATATGATGCACGCCTAACAACCATCAAGAATGCAGCAGCTGCACATCTCTCAACTCATGTTATCCTAGTACGAAAATTTCGAAACTGAAATTCATGCAATGTTCTAAAGAATTTGCGCGCGTTTTAAAACGACAAAGACAAACTCTTCGCTTCTCTGATCTCCTGGTACTCGACAGTACAGGTAACCCTCCGATAACACGCGGTTTTAGTCATGATATTATATTTCTAAGATGCAGCAGATCAGCCGAACTGCAACCAAGTTTTTAGCATTTTTATAAATGAAAAAGTTTAAGAATATCCCAGGTGTAAACTTAATAATAATCATTGTATATTTAAGCACTCATAGACCTATGGAAGGGTCGATTTGTGATTGAATAAGCACTGAAATGTGTTAAAATCAATTGCAACAATTTGAATTCCCTTTGTTTACTACATTAATTGCAGTATTCTCTGGTTGATGGCGCCATAGTCGAAATTGCAGGTTTTGTGTTAGGAATATACGTACTACGGACCACTGTTATGCCGAACCACCAATAGAGGACAATCTGCAAAGCTGACTATCGATGTGTTAAGCTCGGTATGAGGGCTGATGTGGGCCACATTTATCGCTTGGATTTGCATAAGGCTCCTAATTGGTTTCGGTACTTCAGTTGGTGATGTAAGTCCTGCAGTTGGTAGTGCCCGTACGTGCAGCGCCCTCTGTTGATGGTCCAGTATATGAGTGGTCCATTATATGCATATTTCTAACAGCTGGACCTAACCTAAGATTTCTTATAGGTTAGAATTATTGAATTATATGAATGAAAATAAATAGAAATGAACTCGAAAATTACTTTATCCACCAGCAAAATGTATTCGCTTTTCGTTAGAAGCAGATTGAATAAATGCACGAATAAAAGTAAGATATAAAATTTGAAGAAAGAAATACAATTTTCTATTATAATTTTTCAGGATTCTTGGGTAACTTGCAAAGTGAATCAACCAGACAAAATGAACTCTTTGATTTGGAGAAGAAAAGGCAGAGGGAAGAGATTGGAAGGATTGACAAGATTGAAGTAGAAGTGCAATGTAAATCCGAGTCAAAGACTTATGTCATGAATAAACTAATTTCCACTCCATATGATTGTGCAAGGCGTATGCAAACTTAATTAATTGAAATGCAAAAAAACTATAGTTGTATTTCTTTTCAGATCTTAATGAAACCATAATGAATAAAACAGCTGTGGCTCTGATCAATGGTGAAACTCTTTGGCACATGCACAAACCTTTACCAGATTCTTGCAAATTGGAGTTTTTGGATTACAAAGTATCTCAGCCTGGACAGGTGAATAAGGCGTTCTGGAGGACGTGCAGCTTTTTGCTAGGTGCTGTAGCAAGCAATGCATTCAAAGATAAAGTTGATGTTCAACTGCACAGTTTCCCCATACCAAATGGTGATTGTTACATGAGTTTACAATAATTTGATGAGTATAAGATTGAATTGGTTTTAGTCAAATCCGGAAGTTTCGTTTATGATATACAATTGTCTTTGGACAATTGGGTTCCTACAAGCAGTGAGCTCAGGGTGTTATCAATGGAAATGATCAAATTCTGTCAACAGGCTCATCCGATCGAGTGTCTCGATGTGACGGCAGATTTTGCGTTGGTTTTGTTTAAGGAGAATCCGCATAAGACGATGCAAATTCCGGACATCGCTGCTAACAATAATGGAAAAGTTACACTGTTCAGAGCTGGACCTAATGTGGATATCTCGAAAGGCCCGATGATCGCTAATACCAATCAGCTGGGCAGAACGACCGTGACGAATGTTATTAAATTGGACACGGATATCAAAGGAAGTCCAGTTTACAGGTTCCAGGGTGTCGCCTTGCCGAGTAGCATCGTTTTGAATCATTTCGCTTATGGTTTATTGGAAGAACGAGCGAAGAATTTGGTGAGTTTACATTGATAAAAGTCTACTTATATAGGATTCATTGATTTCAAATTTGATTTTTTTTTTAGAATTCTGCAAGGATTCCAGGCTCTCAGGACGTTACCACAGAGGATAACAGTTTCATGGCTCAAGCGACGAACTAAATCCAATTCTATTTATTACAATAGTAATTTGTATTTTTAAATAAATTTAAATATTACGATATTTACCTTTTCGCTTACAAACTACTAACAATGCAACCGATTTCTAATGTAAAAAAAAACAAATATTTTTATATTGGTGTTGTATTTGAGCAAACGAAACACGGAAACTTCTTGCTCGTGTAAACTCTCTGATAAAATTATTAATTTATTGACCCCGACGACACAAATTGATAATAGATTTTTTTTCATAGAGTAAACAGACATACGAAATAACAAAGTCTTCCAATGCAGGAATGCGTTAAGAGAATTAAAACCTAAACAAACAAAAATACAAAGAACAATGAGCGGAGATAACCCAGTGGGATTTTTGTATTCACAAAATCAATAATGCGCTTTTAAAAGAAAATAGTAGTTTTCTTAAAAGTAGGTAGGAGGGTTCGTTTTATTTTTGTTTTGAATTTTCTACCTGGTAGGATTATACATATGCAGGTGCACGGCTGAAATAGAAATCCCTATAATTGAGCCTGAAAAGTGGTTTCGATACGTAAAAAGCTGACGCGCCGCTCGTCAATCTAAACCTCCTTCTACACTTTTATCATCTGTTTTGCTCTCTGTAAGAGGTCAGGATTTTTAAATAAATTTCGCTCCGCTTCTCCGGCCGTCCGTACTCCTCATCAGTTGTGATCCGAGGCACGAACTGTTCGCAACGAAGATGAAGACGATCCTCGTTTTAGCCGCTTTCGCTTTGGTGGTTCTTGCAGGTAATTGGTTTATATTAATGAACAATGGGTTTACGAACGCGGTGTGATTCGATTAAGAATGTCGTGCGAATTACAATTATTGCGTTCTCTCGACATTGCTCATCCTAACCAAAGCACGTCTAAAATTACACGTCTTATCGATTTTGCTTTCACCGAGAAACGTTTAAATGCAACAATAATTCTTCTGTTGCAAACAAAAACAGATTAGATTATATTTGCAAAGCGCATGCAAAATATTTACTGCAAATCTTTTCCGATTATTTTTAAATACGTCTTTATCGAAAGAATTTCTTTTCAGCTGAAGAAACATTTTCGATATCTTAGTTGTTTATTTATTTTAAAAGCAAAGCTTGACGTAATTATTTGCAATTATTTCTTTTTATTACTTTCGTTTTAAGAGTTTATTATGATTTGTTTAATAAATACGCATTATTTTTTCTTTATTTTGTAGGTGAAGCAAAGAAATTGCGTAAACTAAAGAATCCTAATTGGAGTCCAGTTTACACTGTAAAAGGCACTTTGTTTATACCTTACGCGGAAATCAGCGAACCCTTCTACGCTTGGTAATGTATTTTTCAAAAGTTGAGAATTAGAAAGTTTCTATCGATTCGTTTTATATTAGGTACGATGCTCCGGCTAAGCAATCTCGTATCGACTATTACGGTGGAATGGTGAAGACCTATCAGCTTGGTACTAGCGGAGGATTCGGGACCAGTTTGAAAATCGCTCCGGTTACCACCGAAACCGAATTGAACTCCAACACTTGTCTGCAAGTGAACGGGACCGAGGAATATTCGATCGAACCACAAGCGATTCTTCCGAGCCTCACCGGATTCGAATGCGTCGGAGAAGAGATCATCGATGGAACCGCTACCGAAAAATGGGTGATGACCGAGAAGATCGGCCAAAAATCGAACAAATACACCATGTGGATGAAATGGAAGAACGATCAGAACAATCAGGACATTAAATACGCTGTTCCAGTCAGGTAAATGAAATCGTATCAGATTTAATCATAATCTAATTACGATTTATTTCAGATACGAAATGAAGGGATATAACACTTTGTTAGGTTCGCACTACGACCATTATTACTTGGAATACGATTACTATGACATCAATAACATCGATCCAAACACGTTCGAAGTCGATCAAGGTAAATTAAATCTTCAACCTAATTCATTGATTTCATTTAAACAAATATGTTTTAGGTATGAAATGCAGTGCTTTTCCGGGACCCGGAGATCGTCACATTTACACCTTTAACCCGATGAAGGAGTTCATCCATCCGGCGACAACCACGCACGTCGATTTTGAGTACAAGAAATTTGTGAACAAGCATGGTAAACAATACAGCAACATGGAACACTTCAAACGCAAGGAAGTCTTCAGGCAGAACATCAGATATATCCACGCACACAACAGGCAACGCAAGAGTAAGTTTAAATTGTATTTTTTTGTGATTTTCTTTTAAATGTTTTCTTTTGATTAGGTTTCACTATGTCCGTGAATCACTTGGCCGATCGCACTCCGGTCGAGCTGAAGGCGTTGAGAGGTCGCATCAATTCCGGAGGTTACAACGGCGGAGACAAGTTCCCTTATACCAATATCAAAGCCGATCAATTACCAACTCAATTCGATTGGAGAATTTACGGAGCTGTGACCCCTGTTAAAGGTAATTATCAATCGTTTGAATGTAGGTGATACTAATTGATTGTTTTTTCAGATCAATCCGTTTGCGGTTCTTGCTGGTCTTTCGGTACCATCGGAGCTATTGAAGGCGCGTATTTCTTGAAGAATGGGGGTAACTTGGTTCGTTTGTCTCAGCAAGCTTTGGTTGATTGCTCTTGGGGGTAAGATTTAAAACGTGACCATTGCTTATATACTAATTTTTGTTTTTTTTTGTTTTAAAGATACGGAAATAATGGTTGCGATGGTGGTGAAGACTTCCGCGCTTACCAATGGATGCTTAAACACGGAGGTGTTCCAACCGAAGAAGAATATGGACCTTACTTGGGACAAGTATGTTCTCTGCACAAGACAAAACGCTCATTTCTCAAAATAATATCTATTCTAGGATGGTTATTGCCACGTCAACAATGTCACTTTGACTGCTAAGATCACCGGTTACGTTAACGTTACTTCCGGCGATGAAAACGCTTTGAAGCTGGCTTTGCTCAAGCACGGACCAATCAGCGTTGCCATTGACGCCAGTCCACGTTCCTTCAGCTTCTATTCGAACGGTGTTTATTACGAACCCAAATGGTAAATTAAGATTATCTAATCTTGTCTCTTTATAAACTTCTATATTTTTTGTTTGTTTCTTAGCGGAAACAAATTGGACGAATTGGATCACGCCGTTCTCGCTGTTGGATACGGTAGCATCAATGGTAAAGACTATTGGTTGGTTAAGAACAGTTGGTCCAATTATTGGGGCAACGATGGCTACATTTTGATGTCGGCCGAGAACAACAATTGCGGCGTCATGACTACGCCTACTTACGTGACTATGTAGGAAGAACTAAATAAGTTTACAATATTAGTGATTTTAACGAAAGCAATATAATATAAATAACAAATATTTCTACAACTAATACTACCCTGTTTTATATATTTACCCAGCAAAAAAAATCCTGTCTTTTTTAGAAATAATAGAATTCTACAAAATCTTACAAAGTTATTAAAGTTAAATATGTTTTTTCATGTTATGAAATTGATTGGCATCAATTCCATTAACTTATTAATTATTAAAACACGATATTGATGATTTAAAAAGCTGTAGTATTCAATGTGATACAAAAAAATATATTCTCCTGTGTTGCTACAATTAAAAATGTTGAAACACGTAATAAAAAATGATTATTAGATTGTATTAAATATATTTATTTAAAACAATTAATGACAATCAGTCACTGACTTAACTCAAATAATAAAAATGATTACAATTAATTTAGGTTAAATCAATAAGTAACAAAAAAAGAAGAGAAAAACAAACAAAGAATTAACAATTGCAATGTATTTGGATGGACTAAATATATATTGTATATACAAATAAAACCTACTTTTCGTCGTATTTATATAACATTAATGATTTGTTTCCCGTTTGAAGTACGTCTTTTCAATTCTCTTGATGAGATTGATAAGCTCCGGGAAGTTTTTAACTGTATCGGCTAATGCGGAATTTGGTAATGGCGTTGTCAAAATAGTGTACAGATGTCCAAAGATGAGAGCCTCGAGTTCGGTAGGTCTGCAGGACAAATAAACAAAGAATTTTTATAAATATGCAGTTTGGAAGATGATGAATGTTGCAAAACGAATTGGATTCAAACTTGAATGGAGAGGGAGGATTCTGATAGGATTTTCTCGCGACGCACTTTCACTGCGGACTTCGGACGGCTGCTTGTTGGTCGTTCCTTCAAAGTATTTTAATAAAATATTGAGAGATACTGCTTTAATTTCTTTAGATCTTACTCGGAATGCAACATGCTTGGTTTGCTTGTAATATTGGCGAGGTGTAAGATCAGTTTCCCTTCCCATAATTTCAGTATCAATTTTTTTGCAGAATTTCACGAGCGTGTCGAATTTCTTCACGATCATACCTAGATGCGCTGGCAAGGGTATGTTCAGTATGAGGAATAGGTGGGAGTATACTAGAGCATCCAGCTCTGTAAACCTAGGATGAGAAAGGATTGGGATTGGAGGATGGATTTTGATAAATTAATACTCACTTAGATCCAAAGAAGAAGTCGTTTTTATCTAAGCGATCCGTTAAAGCCTGGCAGCACGTCTCCACGTCATTGTACACCTCCTCCAAAGTCTTTTGCTGCCAACCCAGAACCTTCAACCTCTTAAGCTCTTCACTCCTCTTTGTCCACACTTGAATGTGGTTTAATGGCCATGGGTAGATTGACCCATACCTAGCTTTTGTAACTTCTCTATAAGTCTCATCATCACACCAACAAATATACATCTGAAAATTCAATTCAATTACACACTGATAATCTAAATATAATAAATTACCTCAGCATTTCCAAGGACATTATTGACAAGGGTCATGTAGGCCCTCATATCTGCCTTATCCTCCATGGACATAGATTCAGTCAATGTGATTCCTTTGCCTCCGACGAATTGCACAATTGGTTCCATTTCAGCAATGATGAATGCCCCACACTTGATGAATGGGACTTTACCAGTGGGTGACATGGCTTCAGCATTGGGCCTCGGGTCAACTTTGTATTCCAAATTGCACATCTTCAGGAATGTCTGCACAGCCAAGCAGTTGGCATTGTCAGGTAGCAGGATTTGCTCCACCTCATAGGGTTGAAAAAGTCTCACATCTTTAGGCCAAGGCTCTTGAGCTGAAGCAGGGTGTTATTATGTAAAACATCACAAATAAATTGATTTACTGAATGAACATAAAACAGTGAAATAGATTACCTTTCATTTCCAATTGGATTTTATCGTAAAGCGACATAATTACACTTTTTCAGTTTGACTATATTGCAATAATATTCTTTCTTTTAAGAATAAATGTGACAGATCAGATAATATTTGGATATGTTGTCATGCAACCAACTATACATTGCTGCTAATTGTTTGCCTGTATGCATTACAATTTAAATATAAAAAAAATCAGCTTGCAAATAGAAAGCTAATTGTTATATTAAAAGCTATTCAATTCTGCATCATAACTAAATACGATAATTAATTTATAACATTTACCGTGATTGTACATAATTTCGTTTCCAATAACTCTGCAATACTTGCAAATCTCGCATTCTTTTACATTGCTTCCGATTGATCCGGTATCCGGAAATATGCGCTTATTGATTTCATTCAAAAGTAAAGTAACTTTGGAATCTTTCTTTTCAAATTTGGAATCTGTAACTTCTTTATGCGTATGTTCCAACTGATTAGCTTCATTTTTCAATCCGATGCTATTAATTTGATCACAACTCTGAACACAGATGTCTTCGAAACTTTGAAACTGATCCAAATTATCATCGGTGGATGGGATTTTATTCAAATCCTGCACGCTTGGTATAATCAGGACTCCTTCCTGCTGAAGCTCGTTAAGCACATCTTCCATAGTTTGTTCTATTTGAAAATTGTGCAAGCTTTTCACGTTGGTGACGAAGGGCAAGTTAAGTTCGCTGGTGCCGAACCCAATATCATCGTTTTCATTCTGATTGAGTTCCTCAGGTGCGTGGGTTATTGTATATTTGGTTTGAGAAGATCTTTCCTGGGCTAAAGCTAAGATTGCGTTGGAAGTAATTTGTCAATTAATGATTTTCAGGAAATTTAAAAAAAATAAATTAATTTGAACCTGGATCAGATTTGGCGTCTCCATAAATACTGTCTGTACTCAATGTGGGTTCTGTATGCAAGGTGTCCTCCGTCTCCTCGTCGATAGTATCAATTTTATTATTCAGATTATCCATCGTTCAGTAAAATTTCAATTGCCCGCCAAACTGACAAACCGGTATACAGCGCCCCTTGCGGCATTTTCGTCAGCGTTGAGAAGGACCAGGCAGCGACCGCCGTCAACTTCCTTTTCTACACAACAAAATGTCGAAGAGAGGTACGTTTCTCGGTCTCCGGCGCTAAATCTTCGAATATTCCAATCATCATCGTAAATATGAAGTAAATCGTTACGTTTTACGTTGATCATCTATACGATGAACCGATGTGCGGCAAAATTTTCAACGATGATTGCGATGTTTTGTGGATTTTCGGCCGATATAGTTTTGGTGAGGTTATGTACTATTGTATATTTTTGTTTTAGGACGTGGTGGTTCCGCCGGAGCCAAATTCAGGATCTCCCTGGGTTTGCCCGTTGGTGCTGTTATCAATTGCGCTGATAATACCGGTAAGAAACATATTTTCATTACTTTGTTCACCAATTTTTGCATGCATTAAACATGTGTTTGTTTGGCTTGTTTGATTAATTTGCGAACAATCTCTTTAGAACATTTCCTAAAGCTTTTCATATGTTTTAAAGCCTTAGAAATGATCTAAAAGTTGTACAAATTAAGCATATTGTTTATGTTATACCAAATACTTGATATTTGGCGCTATAACTTAATACATGTTGCACATATTTTAAACTCAATATAGTTATGATTTTTGTTATAAATTAATTACTTTTTCACTATTGAATTTTAATTTAAAAGATTCAGTTACAAATTTCTTTAAAAACACATGCATAGTTAGCAATTCACATAGCACAAGCAATGCACTAACCTAAAGATTTGTAATGTGTCTATAACCTAAAGATTCAACCTTTAATTTTTGCATGTGTGAAAATTGATTTAATTTGCCATAACCATGTGTTGATTCAATTATGCATGGGAAAGGTAGATTGATTAAATAACAAATTTATATTTATTTTCATATTGAAGTGTCAATACTAAAATGTTTTCCGTTTCTTTTTTTTTAGGAGCTAAGAACTTGTATGTAATTGCTGTACAAGGTATCGGCGGTCGTTTGAACCGTCTGCCAGCTGCTGGCTCTGGTGACATGTTCGTCGCTACCGTCAAGAAGGGTAAACCAGAACTTCGTAAGAAGGTTATGCCTGCGGTAGTCATCAGGCAGCGTAAGCCTTTCCGCAGGAAGGACGGAACGTTCATTTACTTCGAGGATAATGCGGGCGTCATTGTCAACAACAAGGGTGAGATGAAGGGCTCCGCTATCACAGGACCAGTCGCAAAGGAATGCGCCGATTTGTGGCCTAGGATAGCGTCCAATGCCAGCAGCATCGCCTAAGATTCCTCCACAAGTTTTTTGATTATTTAATAAAAGAAAAGTTTTTGAGGGGTAAATATACGCATTTTATCCTTTGAGATAGAAACGGCATGTTTCGATTTATTATCCTATTCACATTACTCCATCCTCTTCCTTAATCCTGTTTCAACAGAAAATAGCAGATTGCAAAAATAACGTTGTTTCCCTTTGGTCAAATGTTGAAGAACACGTGGTCGAAAGCAAACTTTGAGGGTTGGTTTACTAATCAACAAGAAATTAAACAAAATTTCCCAATTCGTGATTTGTTTCTTGTTCATCAGTAAGTCTTGAAGTAATACTAATTTAACAATTTGTTAAATTTAAGATAATTATGAACACTTGAATACAGAATTATCAATAAATTTGACTTCAATATTTTCAATTTGATATTCCTTCAAGTCTTTAAAACATTAAATGGTATCGAAATTGATTACTAATTAGTAATTACAATTTCATTAAAATAACTCAAAAAATACTATCTTTGGTAACTCTATCATAGATGGCGTAAACGCATAGTTAGAAGGCAAACCACTTAACAAAGACTATAGTTCATTAGTTTTGGCGCTGTTCTTAATACTTTATAATTAAGTCTTCAATTACAAATACTTAGTTACTAAATTCTTCAATTCGATTTCTTTCTTTGCAAATTAACGTAGTTACATATAATTCATTATTTATTTTTACCGCCATGTATTTAAAATGTTTTGTTTATTCACATATACATTTTTTAGTAATAATTATGTAACATTTTGTAACTAATTAGCAAATATCAGTATTAAATATGTATTTATTTGATTTTGGTTTTTTTATTGTAGGTTCATTGGATGTAAAATAAAAATAACGACAAAAGGGATAAAATTAAATTTTCTTTTTATTTTTCACATTTTAAAAATAATTAGTTACTTTTGTTCGAATTACATTACATACACATGTTCCTTTCTTTTCATGTTCATCTCTATTTAAGCACCGTTTTTTTTCGTATATATATATATATTAAAAAAAAACTTTTGATTAACATTTCATTGATTATTTTTGTTAATTGATATCGTTAATATCTATAAGAAAAACGTAAAATGATTAAAGAGGAACAGATAGTGAACCAGAGCAACATTTGACAGCGTCAGGAGTGAATATTTACAGAATTTATTGTCCGTCTGCCAAGAGAAATGTTGTGACTGTGATTCAGAATCTTCGGCGACGGGGATTCTCAGAGAAGTCCTCCGAAAATCCCCGTAGCTTTAAACTCAAAAAGAAAATTTGGTGAACCGAATTCGAATTTTCACGAAAATTGGATTCACCAAAATTCCATTACATTCGTTCTGCTTATTCGCTTACTTTTTAATTACTTTTTTGTTTTAGAGTATTGTTTTAAATATTCTGTTTACCCATCACCGGACCCAAGGAAGGAGGAGAATTAATTAAATATTATATCACGCGTTTTAAAAGTTGTGTGTATATAAATTATTTAGGAAACTTTGAGGTTTTCGTTTTCAGTTATGTTAACTTTCTGCTAGTGCCAAAAACGTAGTATTAAGGACTTTGTTTGAGGATAGGGGATTGTTTGATTGATTGTTTGATTGGAATGGCACCTATAAGTATTCGAAAATTTCGTTTTTCTTCTTGCTATCGTTTAACTGCTATGACTGTAGGCGGTGTTGGTGTAAGGACCACTGTAGATGGAGCTGCTCGGATTCGATGTGGTCTTCTTGTGTCTCCTCCTAGCCAGAAGGAAGAGGATAGCAGCGATCACGCACAGCATCAGAACAAGACCGGCTATGCAGATGCCGATAGCGAAGCTCTTCTGGGAGATGCAGATGCTATCCTCCGGAGTCTGAAAAACAAAGAAAACGAAAAACTCGATCAAAAAATAAATCGGATAAGGAAATCGGCGCCGTTGCGCAATTATTGAAATTTTTGAAGCCTTGCAAAAAATTTGCACAACGCGACGAGGTGAAAGCTATATTGGAATAAATGCAATTAAAATGTATGCAAATGTGCAATTGTTTGATAGACCTCAAAAAATAAAAACGAACAGGGCAGTTGACACTGAGAGTGAATATTGCGCAACGTCTTCTTCGAAATTCCATTGCTGCGCCAATATTTGCACTTTCAATTCTCGAAGAAGGATGAGATCATATTTGCGTTGCAAAGTTGAAGAATAACAACAAAACATATATATGAATGAGTTTTCAAATTATTTAAATTGCATGGAAGATCGTCATGAATAGAGACGTCAAGTCGAGCGAGAGATTCTTAAGAGTTGGTGAATCTTTATTTCGCTCTATTTTATTATTTATTTGCATTGTTGTGGTTGTACGGTTGTGGATGTTCGTTCGCGAGGAACGAACCATTCCTTTTCAAGTTTATTAGGTGATCGGCCAAAGAAAAAAAAAGAGAAGATCGGTTAAGAAGAGGAAATAATATTACGATCATTATGCGAGGTGTTCGCAGAGTTGTTTCCAAATAACTTCTTCGTACAGCAGGAAGTGAAGTAAATTTGAAAAACCACAGCTTGGAATCTCAATCAATATTTGTCAAATATTTAAAAAAATATAGTGTAATAACAAATTTATTGCAAATGTAAATTTTCTGGTTATGAAAATTTACGTTTATTTATTATAATATAAAATTGATATTGTTTTGTAAAACTATAAAGATAATTGAATTTTGATTGTTTAATTGATAAAGAAATTTTAATTAATGTGAAATTGATCTGATTCCAAGATGTTGTTAATTGGATGTATGAAATAGCTGGAAACGTTTGATAAATGTGTTTCTGTTGCATATGGAGGAATTTCAATTTAAAAAGTATTATTCGGATTTAGAGAGAAGACAAGTGGAAGCGAGGAAAATCTAAAGATAGAATTCCATTGAAATGCGCGATAAAAGGATTGCGTTATGTATATAAAGCTATAGAGATGCGGAGGGGAGAAAAAAGGAAATACAGAATTCCATCCCATTGTACGTCCGTTTAAGGGCATATAGCGAGTACAAGGAAGTAATCATCGATGTTCAGAGAGTCCTTTCTTCTGCCACAAGAATCCTGCGACTGTAAGTTCCTCGAACCGTGACTCGCCGCACCATCATCATCTCATCCTTTTTCGCGATTTTCGTGCGTTCCGTCGATTCTTCCTTCTTCAGCACTGCAGCAACAGGAGCATTGTTCTTTGGGCTCCGATCGTAAAACATGTATTTCATAGCAGCAGAAACGGTAATTGCATTGGGCCGTGTCATGTGCATGCGACATTGTTGTGTTTAAAAATATCATTACCTTCTCACTGTAGACGGAATCCTCGTCCAAGCCAGCTTTGGAAAGGTCATTGGCTTCGTTCACGTAAAGACCGCTGTACACCTCGATGGTAGCTGGTGTCCCTTCGCTGGATTCAACAGCACCACCTCCACCGTTGACCGCCTGCCTACGTAATCTGTTTCCCCCGCAGTTTGGAGGCTGTAACAAACAAACAAAAATACAAGAGATAAATCTTACTCAATGAACATCGGAATTCGCAGTTAAATTCGAAAAGTTTTATATGTATGTAACCTTTTGCAAAACAAAGGCATATATTATCGAAGAGGAAAAATATTTATCCTCGCTGAAACAACAACCACTATGCAAGAGATAAATCTTCATTTGATGGACACCGGAATTTACTGGAATATTCGAAAGGTACACAGACACAAAATATCTGACCTTTTGACAAAAAAATAAAGTTAAAAGGCATATAAATCTTTGAAGAGCAAAATATCACGGAACACCTTCACTTTCCTTCAAAAATGTACATGGAAAAAAAGAAAGTTGATTATCTCATCACCGCGGAGAAGGCGTTATTTACATATCCTCAAACGGAAAGAGATATAACTTTGAAAAAATGTCGCAGGTGTAACATGCAAATAACTTCTTTCTAGTCTCTAAAATTCGAACACAATAGGCAAAAAACGAAAGTTCGCTTCGATTGATAATCGAAAGTTCATTTACAAAATTTCTTTTCGCGAATAAATTATCCAAAAATACAATAAATTAAAACTTAAAATTCTGCATTTTCAACTAAATGTTAATATTATTTAACGATTTATATATTTTATGATTAATGAAATATTCAAAATTCAAATATGTTTTTTATAATTTTTGCATTTTCTACTTGTCGGATGAATTGGTTGATGTTTGCTGTTGTTATTGTTTTTTTTTGCAAATCCGCGTTTTTATTGCGCCGTTAGAAAGTCCTGGTGGAAAGGCCTGCAACTTTTGTGAAATCACTTCCTCGCTCATCACTTTTAGCAAATTTCATGTAATAAATCTCGCATATTTTATTAGTCTTGTAAAGTACATCATCAATTGAACATGTTTCAGAATATTCAATGAATTCGGGAATGCGAAACGTATCCATAAAATATTTATATCCAATATGTAAAGCAATCGAATCTTATTGCATGTGAAAGTAATTTTTCTTTTTAAAAATGTAAATATATAAAATTGATGTATAAAATAGGAAATTTCCTACGATTATTTTTTTATACTATCACTTTATGATAAATATTTAAAACCTGACTTTTCACAAATTTTCTATGAAGTCAACAAAATACATGAATTAGAAATTATCCTAATTATCAACTATTAAAACGAAGTGCGTCAATCAACAAGTTATTTCCAATAGTACGTGCATATTAAGAAAGACACTTAATTACAATCGTTTTTTCTTTTTTAAAACTTATTATGAAACAACTCGAAATTCTATATGGAAAATGATGAGAATAATGGATTTCATAAAATTCATACAATAAATTTGTATGAGAAGATTACACAATCTTAAAATTTCATGTAATCAAGTTTGAATATTTTTATAAAACGTCTCAATCAATTGAAGACATTACATAACAGGAAAATAGTATGCAAATTTCGTATAATAAATTAGACATATTTTACAAAATGCATCATTAATTGAAGAGATTACACAATAATCAAGTGTGGGTATTTATTTGGAGATGCATTCATAAGCAAGTTGTTTTTGAATGATTTGTGAAATAATTATCATAACCAGTAAATTTTCGTTTTGCTCGATCTGACATATAATTACGTTGATTTATTAAGGCTATAAAGTAAATGAGGAAAGTTTGCTTTCAATTTTTAGTTAGTTTCCTTGTGATTAACAATTTACGACGAAGCTGCATGAAGCAAAGATCAATGGAGTTGAAGTATAAATGCAAGAGGTGAATTATTGGATTACTATTTGCGTTTAGAGGATTTAGATAAATAATATTGAATAGTCTTATTCTCATTCATTATTTATGTTTCATATAATTATAAATTTTAATTATAAATAATAGTTTAATTAATAAATACTGAATTTGCTGTGTTGGAATTGTAGTTTGTAGTAAGAATGTGGATAACTTGTATATTGTGTTAAATGGAAGTTGATCCAGGAAGTAAAAAGTGTGTGGGATGTAGCGTATAATAGCAAATAAAGACATGGAATTAGAAGAGCGGAGGATATGGTGTATGGATGAAGAATATGAGGTTGAAGAAGATACAGTAAAGCCATAAATCTGGCAATGGCAATCTCGTTGAGCGTGTGTCGTGTTCTCGCGTGTTCTTCACATCACAGGTATATATGTATATACATATATAAAAGCAATTGACCTGTGGATTAGTATAATCCGTCGGCCGTTAAAAATGGCCGGTTAACGACGCTTCGAAAATATATATATTACGTATTATGTATATTACGAGAATGTGCAATTTCTGGGCAATTTCCTAGCGCTGCTGCGGCGCTAAATGAATTTCGCGGCGCCGATGGGGAAGATCAGGAAACGGCTGAGAAAATCCACGAAACATAAACGCCGATCATTATATTACAACCATATGGAATGGGTGGGTACATACGGATATGCATTGTTCGCCGTTTTGCGTAATCGCACAGTTCATCCGACGTCGTCCGTTCCGAGCGCAAAATGATATTTATTATCATCGGTCTCCTCTCCTCGCAAGTTGCAATGCTCAAGAGGTCGCACAAAATTCCCGTCTGAGAGAGAGCACCGTTAGCTTTTAGTTTATGGGAAGGTTAAAGAGGTGAACCCGATCATATATGCATGTCTTCGTTTGCGCGAATGTCATTAACATGTGCGCGCATGGTTCAACCAACAACAGTCCCAAACTACAACAACTTCGCAAATGAAACGTGGTTTGTAGCAATTAGACGTTGGATTGTTGAACGACATTAACCGGATCAATGAACTGCTTCTCTTTTGAAGTAGCCGAAACAATGCGACGTCTCCGAATAATAAAAGATACCAACGAATGTTTCGTCAAAATCACAATTGCTATTGTTACAAAAGCTTACCGTTAAGTTGTCGCATCCACCGTCAGATTTCAAGCACAACTTGACGTTGCATTGGTAGTAGACCGAAGGGCTGTACGGGAATTTGTGCGCTTGGAAGTTGACGACGGCCTTGGTCTTCTCCACGGAGTATTGGAACATGCCCATGATCTCCGGATCTAGAGGACATCCGTCAGTGTTGATGAGCTTCTGCTCGCCCCAGCCCAAACCGTCCCGAACCAAGCAATCGGTGATGCGAATGCCGAACACCTCTTGAGGATCGATGGTCACCTGAAGGGTGAGCGGATCTCCGATCTTCACGTTTTCAGCCACCTCCTTCATATCCGAATCGCCGGAGAAGATTTTCATGGTGCAGCCGGGGATCGTGGCGGATGCCGTCACCGGATCAGCTTGCATCAAACTGCACGAAAGTTTACAATTATTTTCAAACTGTTTCAGGATTAGTTCTAATTGTTAAACTTACTCTACTTTCAGGTTATCGTTGGATTGGATGGTGTTCGTTATCGTGTTGTTCCTGGTGTTGTATCTGCATCTGATGTGGAAACCCTTGCCTTGGTTCGTGACTAATTTCAGATGAGGTTGGACCACGATCGTGTTGAAGTATTCAATGCCGCCGTCGTCCTGCAAAAACAAGGACAAAAATACACAGATTAAGAATAAGATATAAAAAATACGACATTGATAAAAAAAAACAGATTTTCAATTAACATTAATAGTGTAATTAAAATAAAGGAGCGTTTGAAACTACAATAAATATTTCAATTAATTACTGGTCTAAATATGGTATTGATTTATCAGTTAAAACTAGTTTTTCAATAAACATATATTTCAATTTAATATAAGTTAAATTGATTTCATTGAAGCTACAACATTAATTTTCCATCACTTTCTAAAAATATTAATAAAACGACATCAGAAATTCTTCAATTTATTATTACATAAATTTCAATATGAATAATTGCAAAAATAAATCTTTAGATTATATGTGTATAGTTTAGTTGAAATATTTTTAGTTACTTAAAAAGTATTCATAATTCCATGAAATTCTACATAAGAAATGCTACAAAATTAAAAGTCCTTCAAGTGATTGTATTTATTCTAAGAAGTATTTAAGAAAATAAAGAAATAGTGATAAACATTCCTTGACTTCTATTTATTTTTACTCGCATTACTCGGACGTGAGTTACTTTACCATATGCATGATTTTCATGACTGTGCATTGAAAAAAATGCAATTCTTAGTTGTATGGAACGTTCATGCTTACACCAATATTCGAATATTGTGAGTGTATAGACCGGATGACCTTCGCAGATCCAACGGCTAAGATGAAGGCGATATTTGGATGTGAACAAGTTTTTTTTGATGAAAAAATTTTAAAGCAAGAATATTTGTAAACAATATTTGCATTTAATACACACACTAAATAGTTTTAAATTAATTATTTTTATAAAAAAAAAATTCTTAAGGTTTTATTTTTAAGTTGTTTATTTGCAAGTCATCCAGATAATTAAGTATTTGGTTGGAAATCTGTTATGAAATGTATTGATTAATCAATTGATTTGAAGTTTCAGATTTAAAGATTAAATAAAGAATGCGATACATGACTTTATCGCTGATGTCATTTAATTCCACCAATCACGAACTCGAATCCGTTGAGCCGTGGCTCTGTGATTGGTTGACTCGACTAAGGTCATTCGGATTATTTTAATGCATTTGCTCTCGGCATTATCCTTATTGAAGACAAAAACTTGACAACAACAAGAAAAATAGAAGCTTTCATCAACATTCCTTCATTAAAGAAAAACTTTAATAACTTTCATTCAGTCTCAACACTAAATGACATATTTTAATAAATCGAATTGAATACTAAATAATACTCGATAAACTTGTTCCGAGAAATCCAATAAAAACAGGATGAAACCGAACCTACAGAGCGTATAAATCATCACCATCAAATTCGTCCTTAGAAGTGGGCGAAAGACATTAATATTTCCAACTGAAGATTTCTTAACATCCAACACAGCCCACGTGACAATTTTTATACCAAATCGTTCAGAGAGAAGACAACAAAATAAAAACACCTACAAAACGATTCGCAAAAGCCTTTCGAAAACGGCAAATTGTCCTTCGAAATTATCGTTTTCCGTGGGACGAGGACATTATTCTCTCACTTAATACGTTCGGTTCATTTGGATAGGTTTTTTTGTTGTTCTTGTTGTCATTGTTGCTTCGTCTTCTGCTATTTATATAATGGGAATTACTGAATTGAAAGTGCATTTCGGTATGCCAGTCATCGCATTACAATCATTTCAATTTTCACACACTTAGACTTACCGGTTCGTAGCTAATACACATTTAAGTGCATGCATTAACAGAGATTCATAAAAACTATCCATATTTAATAACAAAATAAAATAAAACGTAATTGAAGACAAAAAGAATTGAAGGTCAACATGAAATTACTAAAAGTATTTTCTACGAAGATACTTTGATGTAATTCGATTGAAAACAATTAAGTATAACTATTAACGAAATTATTTCAGTAAATTATTACAGTTAATAGGTTCAGAGTTCACCATTTACCAATATATCATTAAGAGTGTATTAAGTAACTTGGAAGATATTATTGTTTTGATGATCAGAAACTCAAGAGTATCTGTTTATAGTAGTTTACAATCAAGTACAAAAAACCTGCTGCTGTGGAGCCACATGCGGCTCTTATTAAGAGAATTTGCGGCTCCCAGCTCATATAGCGTTCTCTAAAAAATTAGTTAATGCTCTGGAGCCACTTGCGGCTCTTTTTATGATAATTTGCGGCTCCCAGCTCAAATAGCGATTGTATTCCAAAATTAATTTCACAAGTACAAATAGCTTTCGTGCGATTCGATATAATAAGCAATATCTTAGAAATGGCTCTTTGCTACCAAAAGGTTGCCAACCCCTAGCTGTAGACTATCAATCTTCGAATTATTTTGGTTTCTAGAAGCTAAATTTACAGATATTTCTCAAATTAATCTACTATTAAAGTTGTAAAAATGATTGATTTTATCAAAAATCGAACTGATACCGAATACTAATCAGTAAATAAGTTTAAATTATTTATAAATTGTAAACATTTAAAGGTGGAACTGATTGTACTAATTGTACCAATAATTAAACATTATAGTAAAAGCGAAACCATTAATAACTATTTAATTCTAACTAAACGTGATTAAAGCGGAAGTCCGTTAATGCTATGATGCATAATTCCATAACATATTTTCACTATTACTTTGAATGAATAAGTAATTATTGAATTTCGAAAGTGAAAAATAAATGAATTATAATAAACACTTGTTTGTGTGGGATCACTACTTATTTGTAACTAATACAGTTATAATATCAATAATCTATTATTAAAAATGACTTTTTTTAAATGTTAATTATTTATAAGTTTTATCCATTTAAAGATAAAGTTAGAATATAATAAAAAAATAAATATCTAAAGAATTTTGTGAGTAATTATTGTTTGATTCATGTTTTAATATATTGATTTGTAAAAGGTAAAATAAAATGAATGAATATAAACTGTAATTATGATAACGAGAATCTGTCAGTTGTATATAAATATATAAAGGAAGCTTCGCATATCCGTAGGTAATCGTTGTTGCATCTCAGGAATCTTTAATATATATTAACCTGTTGGGAGTATGAATAATTGACTTATAATTCACCAGGAAATACAATCAGAATGCTGCACAAGCAATGCATAATCCTCCAATAAAATTGCCTCCGAGACGCAATAACTGACACTACATTTTTCAACGAAATCCGTTTCTTCCATCCAGACAGAAAACATCCAGTTCCCAATCCAGTCCAATTAAACCGTAATTTAAATCCCAAAAGCCGTTAGAATTCCGTGGAAACTTTTGCATCTCATACTAATAATTTTGTGAATGAAGATTGGACACACCTCAATTATATCAGTTTAAAATATGTTTTTTTTCTATCGTCTAGTAATTAATGTTTGAGAATGATATAATAATATTTTATTCATTAAATTGCATAAGATACACTGGAAAATTTCTAAAACAAGCCGAAAGATGGCGTAATAAGTTAGTACCGTCGGCATTAAAGAATTAAAGAAAAGTTGTTTATTAAAGTACCGAAATAACAATTTTGACAGTAAATCAAATAAAAAGTTATAATTTAATTTAAAAATATAATATACAAAGTTCAGATACGCAATATTAATGAAGAACATAAGAAGAAATCGTGGATAAAGATGAAGCTTATTCAATTGAAAAATCTCACTGAATGGAAATAAGTACAAATTTTGAATTATATGTTTATGATGCATATTTTTTTTTATCCGAGTTATACTAAATGCTTGTATTAAAAATATTTGAATTGTTTGCATATTTTATTCACTTCAATTAATTACTAACTAATTTTTTAGTCAATCATTGTAAATATTCATAATTCTTTAAGAAAGTAAAGAAGTTAAGAGTATCTAATGAAATAACTGTAATTAAAAATCTTTGATTACAAAGCTTAACTAAATAACTTAATAATAAATAATTTCACAATCACAATTCAAGTAAATTCTACAATATAAGTATGAAAATTTCCATTGATTTTTTTTTATTTTCTTGTAATTTATGATTGAAATATCTGTGGTAAATATATTTTCTTGAAGTTATTAAATAGAAATATAGATACAATTTCCTAACGATTGTGGCGAATTCAATGTAAATTACATTACATAAGACTCTAGAGATTTGAAATTAGTAAATGATTTGAAACTGGATTGGCTTCAAGAAATTGGAAATTTCCTGTCGCATTATGAATAGGAATCAGCGTTGTGTAACATATTAAGAGAGCGGAGATTGATTGTAAATTTTTACTAAAACTAATAAAAAAAAAGTCACATACACTCACACGCACAATTAAAGTGCTTTTTTTCATTTCTAATTATTGCAAACGCTCCCACATTTAAATACTTTCTAATGACACAAAATTCGCTTTGCTATATTACAATTAACGTAATTGCATATCCATATGATGTATTCCCAGCGTTTCGTAAACTATAAAAATCCGAGCTAAAGTGTTGAAGGAGATGAAACAAAAAGAATAATAAAAAAAATATAAAGAGGACGAGACGGCTTGAGGCGTTTTCGGTGTGAGTGCGGTTTATTCCTCGGCTGAAACTTAACGGTATCTTTAATATCTTTAAGGTGAAGAAGAACGGTTCCTTTTTTTCTTTTTTCATATTTGGCTCCGTTCTTTTATGCTTACATCCGATCATGACTAATCCAACACAAAAAAAAGCTATTGATTTGGTGATGGATGTAGATTCGGAATGGTTGGATGTATATGACGTGAAGTGATTTGATCCTGCTCATATTATATTAATACCGTAATTATGAACAAGAGAATGGAGTTAATAAAAAAATGTAAAGCCCACTCGGATGTGTGGGTCGAATTACACGTGAGCTGCAAAATTAATAAAGGTTTCTTTTGTTTCCCATTAATGGTTTTGCAAAAAAAAATTAATTAATCACGAAGATTGTTTTAATTTATTGTTTCTTCTTTTCGTAAAATAACGGTAGTTTGAAGCTCGTTAGAGCAATATCAATCCG